AGGGCTGGGCAGGTTACAGTCCATGTGGTTGCAAAGTGTCAGACACGACTGAAGGGACTTAGCAGCAGCATGGATCAGGGATCAGGGACCATGTCCAGCAAAATGCGGAGTTTCAGCTCTTCCTCTTCAATTTAATCACAACAGTGCCTTTAAGTCCCTTCTTTGCATTTCAAACACGTCAATTGCCAGTTACCAAGGCTCACTCCCTCCAGTAAGCCTTCCCTGATTGCACACTGACCCACCTTGACCAGGGCACTACCTTCAGAAAGCCCTTCTAAACAGTCAAATAATCGATGCCTTAAAAGCCTTGGGCATTACTTTTTCTCTAGACTTAAAATGTTTCAAGCCCCTGACCCGTGGGCCTGAAAGAGCCCAACTTCCTCTTCCACATTGCCTTTGGTAAATGAATTCAATTTAAAAAAAAATCAAACTTGCACCCAGCAACAATTACCCCACCTCCCCCCAGGCATCCTGTTCTCCTTCCTAGAGGAAACTGTTGCCAATTTCTCATCTACTCCGGCAGAGCTGGCCCAGCACTGGCTCAGCAAACATTTTCTATAAAGAAGCAGGTGGCAAAAAAAAAAAAAAGAAGAAGCAGGTGGCAGTCCTTAGATTCGTTTCTGCAGGCATGTGGCCCTGCTCACACTGTCTCACCTCTGCTCTTGTCACACAAAAGCAGCCACAGACAAGACATATGTGAACATATTGGACTCAATTCCAGTACAGTTTTACTGGTGGACACAGAAATGTGAATTTCCTATTATTTTCATGGGTCACACAATGAAGATTTTCTCTCAGTATTTTTTTCAACCACTTAAAAATTTGCAAACCTTGGGATTTCCCTGGGAGTCCAGTGGTTAAGACTCTGCACTCCCGATGCAGGGGACATGGGTTCGATCCCTGGTCAGGGAACTAAGATCCCACAAGCCACATGGAATGGCAAAAAGAAAAAGAAAAAGAAAAAAAGCATGTAAACCCTCCTTAGTTATGAAATCATTACAAAAACAGTGACAGGACAGGGCAAACCCAGCCCAGGAGGGCACGGTTTGCTGCCCCGCATACGGGAGTAGGTGTTCAGAAAGATCACACCCCCCCCAATTTTTTTACACCGTGTTTTTTGCCCTATATAATATGCCTTGGTGATTATTCCACCTCTATAAATACTGATCTCCTTCATCCTTCTCTTTTAATTTTCAAAATATCTTTTTAAAGAGATAGTTAATAGATTATTTTAGAATCGTTTTTGATGTACAAAAATGTTGTGAGACTATTTGAGTTCCCATGCATCCTGCATCCAGTTTCTCCTACCACAAACATTACTCTGGTATGTTTGTCACAGTGAACCAATCCATAGTGATGTATAGGGTTGGCCAAAAATTTCATTTGGGTTTTTTCATCAGATCTTAAGAAAAACCTGAATGGATTTTTGGGCCAACCTCATATTATTACTAACAGAAATCCACACTGTTTGGATTTCCTCAATCCCCCTCCCCTGATATCCTTTTTCTTTTCCAGAATCTCATCCAAGATGCTACATTCCAGTTGGTCAACCTGCAGCCTTTGGCTCCTCCTGGCTGTGATGCTTTCCCAGACGTCTCTCGTTTAGGAGACCTCGACAACTTGGAAGAGTTCTGGTCAGGGATCTTTGCAGGCTGTCCTCTCATTGGAGTTTGTCTGATGTTTTTTCCATAATCAGATGCCTCGTGTGCAAGAAATCAAGGGTCCAACTTTCTCTCTTCTCTCCATCCTCCGACCCTTCTGAGATCTCTCCCCATCACTGGCCCCTCCCTGCCAGGAAATGAGTTCCTGCAGGGTCTAGACAGACTTCTCACTGCCTGAGAACTTTTGTGAAGGCAGAGTGATTGATGAGAGTCAGTTTAGATTTACCTGCCTTTTTTCGTTTTAATCCCCAGGTGTAATCAGAGAAGCCAGCCTGGTAGGATCCGGGTGCCCCTGGATTATATCTGTTGGGAAGGAAAAGGAGGCAGCAAACAGAACAAGAAGGTAGGAAAGCAGGAAGACTAATAATAATGTTACAACGCAGCTATTTATTAAATGCATTGGGATATACAGGTTCTTCCTTTCCTGGACATGTGGGGACCATATTTTTCTGGTCCAGAGTTGGGTTGTATGATTAGCCAAGAGCATTCCATTTTCTTTTAAGACCTTTGAAAGGCCTTCTGATTTGTGAATTTCTTGAGAGAAGGCTACATTTAGTTGCACATTTTAATAAAGGCAGTTCATGAAAATAATAAAACAAAAGTACATGAAACCAGGCCTGGCTGGGCAACCCACACTTGCCCTCTCATAAAAGGCTAAGATCTCAGAGCTCCCTTGTAAAGCCTGCTCCAGCCAGGCCCCATCAGGGTTGTGGAGCACAGAAAACAACCCCCTAATTGTCATTTAATTAAAGAGCACTTTCATACCCATCAATAAATAACTGTTGAATAAATTGAATGTCTTGGAAACACAGTGACCCGTTGTCACCTACTCTAGACTTGAGGGTCCATTTTTACATCGGGGTGTCTGTTTTCTTTGAAACACAGAGTATGTCTTATGTAGACAGTCTATGTAAGACATGGAGAGGGTGAAATATGACCTTTGGAGTAACCTACTTCCAAGCAAGTAAATCCTCAAGTAATATGTTAAACAGACATGCCCACCTTCTACTCCTTAGAACCTGTAAATGTGACCTTACTTGGAAAAGGATCTTTATAGACATCAACTGAGGGATCCTGAGATGAGACCACTCTAGATTTAAGACGGGCCCTAATAAACATGTGGACACCAAAGGAGGAAAGGGGGTGGTGGAATGAATGGGAGGTTGGGGTTGACATATACACACTACTGACACTATGTATGAAATAGATAACTGAACCTACTGGATAGTTCAGGGAACTCTAAATGCTCTGTAGTGAAGTCAGTGGGAAGAACATCCAAAAAAGAGGGGATGTGTGTATACATACAGCTGATTCACTTTGCTGTGCGTGAGTGCTCAGCTGTCTCCTACTTTGTGTGACCCCATGGGCTGTAGCCCACCAGTCTCCTCTGTCCATGGGATTCTCCAAGCAAGAATACTGGAGTGGGTTGACATGCCCTCCAACCCAGGGATCGAACCTGCGTCTTCTGCACTGCAGGCGGATTCTTTACCACTATGCCATCTGAGAAGCCCCTCACTGTGCTATACAGTAAAAACTAACACAATATTGAAAAGCGACTATGAATGTGTGCTAAGTCACTTCAGTCATGTCCAACTCTTTGCGATCCTATGGACTATATAGCTCGCCAGGCTCCTCTATCCCTGGGATTCTCCAGGCAACAATACTGGAGTGGGCTGTCAAGTCCTCCTCCAGGGTATCTTTTGGACCCAGGATCAAACCCACATCTCTTTACTTCTCTTGCATTGGCAGGCGGGTTTTTTCTTTAACCATTAACATCACATGGGAAGCCCCCCAAAAGCAACTATACTCCAAAAACATTACTTTAAAAAGAAAAAAGATGGGCCCTATACCCAATAGCAGGTATCCTCATGAAACAAAAGAAAGGGAAATGGATTTGATTCAAACATGAAGATGGAGGCATAGATGGAGTGATGCAGTCACAAGGCTAAGGTTCCCCTGGAGCCACCAGAAGCTGGGACACTAAGGAAGGATCCTTCCCCAGAAACTCTGGGGACAGTGAAGCCCTGCAGACACTTTGATTTTGGATTTCTGGACTCCAAAACCATGAGAGAATACATTTCTGTTGTTTTAAGCCACTGAGTCTCTGNGCAGTCACAAGGCTAAGGTTCCCCTGGAGCCACCAGAAGCTGGGACACTAAGGAAGGATCCTTCCCCAGAAACTCTGGGGACAGTGAAGCCCTGCAGACACTTTGATTTTGGGTTTCTGGACTCCAAAACCGTGAGAGAATACATTTCTGTTGTTTTAAGCCACTGAGTCTGGAAATTTGTGGCAGGTGGTAGGAAACCAATACACCCCAAGATCCTATGTCCACTGGCAAAAAAATGCACAAGCTACAAAGAAGAAATTGTGTTTTATTCAGAAGACTTACTGAGGACTAAAGCTGAGGAGGTTAGGGCTTCTCAGACAGCTCTGAGGCACTGTTCCAAAGAGGTAAGGGAGGAGTCAGGATACAGAGGATTTTTTGACTGGAAAAAAAAAAAAGTTGACTACAAAAGATTACTGATAATCACAAAAACAGACATCTTAAATTAACAACTTTAGCATTTTTCTATGTATGGAAAGATGCAAGAGCCTGGGCTCAAGGAAATTATTCCTTTGGTATCTTAGCCACCTAGGGTCAGGATCCTGTTNACCAGGCTCCGTCGTCCCTGGGATTCTCCAGGCAAGAATACTGGAGTGGGCTGCCATTTCCTTCTCCAATGCATGAAAGTGAAAGTGAAGTCGCTGAACCCCCCAAAATAAACTCTGCCACTGTTTCCACTGTTTACCATCTATTTGTCATGAAGTGATGGGACCGGATGCCATTATCTTAGTTTCCTGAATGTTGAGCTTTAAGCCGACTTTTTCACTCTCCTCTTTCACTTTCATTGCCAATGGCACATTCTAACATTCACTGGTGATGCTCGGTAAATGATTCACGGTACCTGGCAGCCTACTGGTGATGCTCGGTAAATGATTCACGGTACCTGGCAGCCTGTCTGAGCCTCAGCCCATGTCTCAAAGACAGGCAAGATTTCCTATTCCTGCCCCATTCACAGGGACACTTAAAAAACTCAATCATAAAAAAATAAAACAGAAAAGAAACCTAAAACGATTTCTGCTTAAGCACAGCTCAAATACCGCTCCTGTCAGTCAATTCCCTGGCAATGTTATGAACCAGCGCCCCCTGCCGGACTAGCCATTACGGTGTCCTCTCCAGGCGCCGCCTAACAGCCTGAGCCTGCGCAGGATGCGGGCGCTCAGGCCCGCCCCTTAGAGGGTGTGACTTCCTTGGGTAGCTCTTCGGTCACGCCTACTTCCGTAGAGGCGGGCTACGTCTCGAGCACGTGACTTTGTTCCGGCCTGCCAAAGATGGCGGCGCCCAGAGTGGTAGCGTGAAAGTTGGTGGTGGTAGTCGCTACCTATTTGTGCTGAAATCAAAAAAGTGGGACCGTTCGCCATGTCGCGACTGATCGTGAAGAACCTCCCGAATGGGGTGAGTACAGAGACAGAGTTTGGGAATCTGAAATTGGGATCCAGCCAGAAGTTGGAGGTTGGGAGGAGGTGCCTGTGGAGAGTTGAGGGGCTTTCTCTCTCGGGCAGGGTTCCCGGAGGATTCCGCAGGATTGTCGGCAGATTCATATGACAGTTGGAAGAGACGGGTAGTGCCTCTGAAAGGTTTTACATCTGGCCTCTTGGTACCCGAAATCTCTTTCCCAGGGAGATGCTAGTCCCCACGTTGTGTCGAATGCCTTGCTCTGATAACCCTCTTGTTCGATCACTTTTTTTGTTCATTTGTGACTGAATTAGATACTGCACCTATATCCCTCTTTCATTTGGGATACTGTATGGGAGGAAAATGGGGTGTAATAGGCTGGGTACCTGCGTTCCAGTTCCCGGTTCCCGCTTTGAGGGCAGTAGGAATGAATGGTTTAAGAAAACTGAGGGAGTGTGAAAGGCTTTAAACCACTTATCCCGCAAGTGGGGGAGGGGTAACCCAGTCATATTTGCCTTTGCTTAGAGCCCACAGAACCTGGCACGGTGGTAGGCATTCAATAAAAGCATCTTAAATAAATGAGTGAAAAAACAGTTGAATGTGTAGTGTCAGATGACTACATGCCTTCTGCCCCAGAAGATTATCTGTACTTATTTCACGGTGACTTCCATTGGATGGAGAGGCCCCTCCACCACTGGTGTGGCCAGTAAGCTCATTATCCAAATACACAGTGTACCGTGTGGATGTTATGAGAGATCTGCTCTCCTTAGAAAGAGTAGAAACATAAAGCCATTTATGTTTCTTTTTTGTGGTTTTTTTTACTTTACCTTTTTTTTCTCCATGGCAGGTTGGGAGCACTTATCATATGATTGTCAAAATTCGGTATAAAATGAGAAGCAAAGTCTTTTTTTTTAAGGGTCTTTTAAAATTTTTTATATTTATTTGGCTGCGGGATCTTTAGTTGTGACATTTGAACTCTTAGTTGTGGCATATGGGGTTCAGTTCTCTGACCAGGAACCCCTGCATTGGGAGTGCTGAGTCTTAGCCAGTGGCCAACCAAGCAAAGACTCTTGCTATGTCTTGTCCTCTATCTCCAGGAGAAACTATCTTTATAACTTGCATCTCTTGACAAGTTCCTTATCTCAGAATCCTTAATGTCATCACACAGTAAGCCTGCAAACTGTCAGCTACTAACTACAGCTGTTTGTAACTAATTCTTTCATTCATCAGACAAGACATGCAGTAGGAAGAGACACGCCATACTGAGAAGCAAAATGAAGTGGTAGTTGAGCGGGGAAGAAAGGGCCGCCATGCCAAAATCCTCATTCATCAGAGTGAGGCATCAAGAGATGCTGTCTAAAGCTGAAGGATGGATCAATAATAGATTTTTTAAAAAGATTTTTATTTGTTTGTTTATTTTTGACTGTGCTGGCTCTCCATTGCTGAGTAGGAGTTTTCTCTAGTTGCAGGACGAGGGCTTCTCACTATAGTGGCATCTCTTGTTGCAGAGCACAAGTTCTAGAACAAGGGTTCTAGAGTAGTGGTGGTGCATGGGCTTAGTTGTTCCACGGCATGTGGGATCTTCCCAGACCAGGGATTGAATCCGTGTCCCCTGCATTCAAGGCAGGTTTGTAACCACTGGACCACCAGGAACACCCCCAATAATTGTTATTTTTAAAGTAACCTCTTTAGGGTAAATGATGAAAGAATTTAAAATAATAAATAACAGAGACTGGAAGAGAGGAATAGATGATGTAGGTTTCTTATCTTTCATAGTGGGAGTCAGCAGATAGTCTTTGGGGATATAAATAAGCCAAGAAATGAAGTTGAGATCTCACTGTTGGGACATAGAGCGATGCTTATGAGGAGTCCTGAAAACAGCTATAAAGTTGCTTACTCCTACCACAATCAGCAAACACTGTGTAGTTTACCATATTCCTTATTTCACACATCTGCTGTGACAGGCATTTGTTAGATGTTTACATTGTAGCGGCTACGACGCTGGGCTTCTGGCACAATAGGTCTGGTTAACCTCCTAGCAGCCCACAGGCCCGGAGGATTTCAATGCAGCTATTCTGAGTCTTGACTTCCTCATTGATGAAGGGACTTGGTTAAGTCACACACAGACAAGCGCTGGAGCTGGAGTTCGAACCAGGTGCCAGCCACAAAGCATGCTTGGCCACTGCCCCGCCTGAGGGGAGGAATCCCGGGGTCTCGGGTTCCCAGCCCATTTTGTCCCTTTGGCTCTGAGGCCTCCTGGCTCCTCCCTCACCATTCCTGTCCTGTCCTAGATGAAGAAGGAGCGTTTCCAGCAGCTCTTCACCGCCTTCGGCACGCTGACGGACTGCAGCCTCAAGTTCACCAAAGACGGCAAGTTCCGCAAGTTCGGCTTCATTGGCTTCAAGTCCGAGGAAGAGGCCCAGACAGCGCTGAACCATTTCAACAAGAGTTTTATCGACACGTCCCGGATCACGGTGAGCGGGCGTGGACCTCACCCCACCTGCCTGTCGCAGGGATGCCCTGGCTCTTTCTCTCCACGTGTGAGACCAGGGCCTAGCCCCTTCCAGACCATGATGCCTTTGGTCTTCCTCACTGTTCTCAGGTCCTCGTGCTTGTTAATCCTCTGCAGCATTTGCAGAGACAGTTTTCCCCGGAGTCTCTGATCCCCTGTGTTGGGGGAGAGGAGCCAAGAATTCCAAGAATTTGTATGTCTCACGAGCTCACAGGTGATGGTGTTGCTCCTGGTCCCAAAATGAGAAGCACAGGTCTACATTATTCATCCTCTGCCCTGGTCAGCGCCCACCTGTGCTGGGTGTAGTGGCAGGTGTCGTCATCACCCTCTCTGTCTCTCACAGGTGGAGTTCTGCAAGTCCTTTGGGGACCCGACAAAGCCCCGAGCCTGGAGCAAGCATGCTCAGAAACCGAGCCAGTCCAAGCCACCTCCAAAAGACAAAGACGCCATCTCCACGGAAGCTAAGAAAGTGTGTGGATGGCCATTTCCAGCCATGTCCCGGGTGTCAGCAGAGCAGTTACCCCGGGAAGGCAGGGTAGTGGGAGGGAGAGGGGCCCAGGAATCCCTCTTGGATGGTTCCCGAAAGCAGCCCTCCCAGGGCAGTGGGGTTGCATGTCCTTTCATATGTGACCCTCACGCCCGTGTCTTCTGTTTACAGGATGACAAGAAGAAGAAGGTTGTAGGTGAACTGGAGAAGGTGGGTCTGTCTCAGTGACCAAGCCGAGGGTGGACAGCAGAGACGGACACTTGCCTCCCGTCTCCCCTTGCCATATCCCCATAGCTCCTTCATCTTTCTGTCCAGTGCTGCCCTCCCCAGGACCAACCCAGCTGGCCCCTGGGGCCCTCTAGAGACTGGGGGGACATGGCCTCAGAGAACGAGCTTACCCTCCAAAGACTTAGCAAGGGCGAGCCCTCCCTGACCTTCTCTGCCTGTTCTCTCTTCTTCCCGCTTCTCCGGCACCCGCAGCTAAAAGAAGATAATGAGTTCCAGGAGTTCCTGTCAGTTCACCAGAAGCGGACACAGGTGGCCACCTGGGCAAACGATGCCCTGGACGCTGAACCCTCGAAAGGGAAGAGCAAGGCAGACAATGATTACCTGAACTTTGACTCTGACTCAGGGCAGGAGAGCGAAGAGGAGGAAGATGGGGAGAACTCGGAAGGTGAGGGTATGCCCCCTGCTATAGTGCGTGCCCTGCACCTGCCCGCACCTGCGCACGAGTGACCCGGGACCCCTCCGGGCTGGACCTGAGAGATAGCAAATCAGATGCTGCCTCATAGAGGATTGATTATCCCTACCGCGGGTTCGTTGGACTTGATCGATCCTGATCCCTTATTCAGTTAGTGGATTACTCACTCAAGAATTGATTGAACACTTACTGTACGCCAGGGAGTGGATGTAGCAGTGAGCAAAAGATGAGAGTCTGCTCCCGTGGAGCTGTCATCCTGGTGGGGAAGGAAACAGTAAAGGAATCAGACTGATGCCTTTATTCATTATTCAGTGCATGATGTGAACATGAGTGCCGCAGAGGGAAAGCAGGAAGTGGGGGGTGGGAGGCGCCCCGGAGAAGGGTGGTCCTTGAACAGGGGCGGTGAGGGATGAGAGCCTCTGTCCTCAGAAGGGGCTCACGGTGTAGCCGTGAGGGGCTCAGCGTAGTGAGTGCAGTGATCGAGGGGCGGAAATCAACTTCGGTTGAAAGGCAAGGGAGTGAATTTAAGATGAGTTTTATGACTGGTAAAGTCTGTGTGCAAAGCTGGGATCCAAAGGGCTCAGTGGGAGTTGGGGGGACTCGGGGTGGGGGCTGAGGAGGGGTTCCAGGCAGAGGGAAAGGCATGGCAGAGGGGTGGGAAGAGCAGGAGCCAGGGGGTGTCCGTGTGCTCAGGACGGCTGCACCAGAGGGGGCTGGCGGAAAAGCCAGTGAGCTCACCAGACCCCACGAGGAGTTTGGGTTACCCCTGAAAGAGCAGCCGGGATAACACCCGAGCTCCTCGTTAGGCTTGGGAGCCACCAGCGCCCTCTAGGGTCTCAAAGAGTCGTGCAGCCTCACACTTGGCCGGTGAGAGAGGCTGGTGAGAGAGCCCTCAAGTTCTCCACGTGGAGCATGGAAACTGTCAGAACTCTGTCATTTCAGTTATTTATCCAAGGGCTTGCCTGGCACCAGGGTAGCTTGGCAGGGGCTCCTGGTCATCGTGAGCTTGGCACCTAATGTGTCACACCACCACACTGTCTGCCACCCCAGCCCTCTGGTTTGCTCACAACCGTCACCAACTCCCAGCCTTTCCATCTTTCCAGAGGAGGAGGATGGCCTCGAACCCAAGGAACCCAAGGCAGCTGTGCGGAAGGAGCTGTCCGACATGGATTATCTGAAGTCCAAGGTGGTGGCGGCTGAGTCACCATCCTCGGAAGAGAGCGAAGATGAAGCCGTGAACTGTGAAGAGGGGAGTGAGGCAGAGGAAGGGGGTTCCTTTGCTGCCCCCGCCCAGCAGGACAGGGAGGCAGCCCCAGCCAAGGTGTGTGTGGACTGGGGTGAACTGAGGAGCCTGGGGAGGGAGGAGGTCCACCTGGGCCTCGCCCACCTTTCCTGCAGCCCCTTTTGGGGGGTGTTACATCAAGGAAAGAGTTCAGCAGCCCGGAGGCCTACCTACCTTAAGTTCTTGCTTGCTGTGTGACCCCAAGCAAGCACACTCCCTCTCTGAATTTGGTTCCTGTTTTTAACAGAGGGGCTGCCTGCCCCTCTCGAGTTGAGGGGGACGTAAACAAGCTGAAAAAGGATCCCGAATATACTATACTTAGTATTCAGTAGGAAGGTAGGCAGGTGTGAGCCCACGAGTAGATGAAATTAGATGAGCATTGATCTCATGTGAGGTTCAATACCTGGCATGACGTTTTGTCACTGAATCTCATGGTAGTCGTGGGGGAATGGGGATTCTTGTCCCATTTTACAGGTGCAGAAACTGAGGCCCAGAGGAAGGAAGTGACTTGCCCACAGTCACGGCTGGGTAGTGGTGGGAGTCGGGACCCAAATCAAGGTCTGCCAGGTTCTGGAGTCTATATTAAAACATGGGTGCTGTCGTCTCCCACATGAGGGTTCTCTTTGCTCAGGACAGCATCCCACATCCTTTGGGTTTTCATTCCCTCTTCCCCTTCCTTCTCTTTCTCCTTTCTCTTCTACCTTTTTTCTTTCTCTGCCTCTCATAATGGCTACCTCCTGTCTGCTTTTCCTAAAAATACATATTCAAAAGAGAGAGTTGAGTGTGGCCAAGTCAGGGAACTGTGCGTTCAACTCTACACTCCGACCTGGAGCAGCTCTGGGTCCCGAGGTGAAGTGCTTCTCCTCCGGCCTCTGACTTCATCTGAGATGAGGCTCAGCGAGCCCTGGTCCCTGTGTCTGATTCCCAGGGCTCGCTGAGCCTCATCTTAGATGAAGGTCAACCCCCATGCCTGAGTGTGCACTGGAACTCAGAAGTTGCAGACTTCAGGGAGGGATCCCATAACTCACGCAGGGCAGCACCCCACAAAAGCACGTGACTCTTTCTGCAGTGTTGTTAGACCTGGTTGCTCACCTACTTGGCATAGTTGTAAACTCTAAATTGTGCCAGAACAGCTCAGAGCAGGTTTCACCAGCAAATGAGTACAAATCAGGGCAGATTTTATTACCAGAAGAATTAACCCCCAAATTAGGTTTTTTTCAGAGCTCTTTCAATTCTAAAATTACCGAAGACATCCCGAAGCTGTAACCCCTGTCAGGTTGTTTCACAGGTTCAGGAGGACGGCTGTGTCTGCACAGCGCTTTGTACGATGTCTGGCACAGAGGAAGCCCTGAATCCATGGTGGCAAATCTCACCTGAGGGCTCCTTCCAAGTCTCTTGCCCCTTTGTGTGGCCCGGGCCCCTGTGAGCAGACCCCCGGTGAGCCAGGCTGTGGTTCCAGCCCTCATCTTGGGGTCATATGAAGGATTGGCATCTCCTCCCCCAGGCCCTGGCGTGACTCAGCATCCCTGGCAGGCACGATGCTTCCGGCATTGCCCGTTTGCCTGGTGGCAGGGGTCTCAGCACGCTCACTGGACGCCCAGGTCGGCTCCTCCTGCAGCTGCACCTGGGAGCTCAGTGCAATCATTTCTGCTCTCTGCCGTCCCTCAGACCGAGAAACCAGCCAGCCAGAAGGAACCCACCACCCCCCACACTGTGAAACTGCGGGGCGCCCCGTTCAGTGTCACAGAGGTGCGTGCCAGGAAGCGGGTGAGGCCGGGAGCCCCTGGGCAGGGGAAGACGCGGCTGAGGGTGCCTGGAGCCTCTGCTACACAGGGATTTCGGGGGCGGTTGAGGACTTGAGCTGAAGGGAACTGGGGGCTGAAAAGGCTGAGACATAGAATCTTGGGCATTGTCAAGGTCAGGAAACAGAGACAGCTATACCGAGACAGAGTAAGACTGAGCTCCCTCATTGATCATCTATGCTAGGGGTGGGCAAACTTATTTCTGCTAAAAAATGTTTAAAAAAGGGACCAGCTAGTAAATACCTAAGGCTTTGTAATCAGTCTGGTCTCTGTCACCACTATTCAACCCTGTTGTTATAGCAGAGGCAGCCCTAGATGACAGGTAATCCAGTAGGGATGGCTGTGTGCCAGTGAAACTTTATTTATAAAAACAGGCAGCGGGCTGTTATTTGGCCTGCATCCTATAGTTTGCTGGCTCTGAATCTACACAGGAGAGAACACTTTGTAAGTTTCCCTTCTTATGAAAGTAGTATAAAAGTTCAGTGTAGGAAATTCTGTTAGTGTAGCTAAAAAGTAAAATGACCTATCACTGGGATGACTATAGAAATTGCCAGCCAAACTGCCTTGAGAGAGGAGTGGTAACTAGAGGATATTAGGATGCAGGACTAATGACCTACAGGTCTGATTACTATTGGTGGAAAGACTGACCTTCCCAGGCAAATTGGAGCAGGCTCCTCCAACCCCCACATCTATATCCCATTCACTGACAACCACTAATAAATTCTGGGTGTATCTTCTTAGAGATTTTTTTTTTTCTTTATATACAAACACTGACCTCTGTCTTTTCTTCTTAAAATGCAGTCCTACAGCAGGAACTATTTTGAAACTTCCCGCCATCATATTATGTCATAAATATTTCTGAATACTGAATATTCTGCTGCAACACCATTTTTCACGTTGCATGCTCTTCTTTACTTGGCTGTGTCATATCTTAGTTGCAGCACGAAGGCTCAGTAGTGTGGCATGTGGGCTTAGTTGCTCTGGGGCACTTGGGATCTTAGTTCCCTGACCAGGGATCGAACCCAAGTCTCCTGCATTGCAAGGCCAATTCTTAACCACTGGACCACCAGTGAAGTCCCCTGCGTGCTAGTTTTACTCTGGATGCACTGAGTTATATTCACTGCTATTGCTGCTGCTGCTAAGTCACTTCAGTCGTGTCTGACTCTGTAGCCCCACGGACTGCAGCCCACCAGGCTCCTCTGTCCATGGGGATTCTCCAGACAAGAATACTGGAGGGGGTTGCCATGCCCTCCCCCAGGGGATCTTCCAGACCCAGGGATCGAACCCCACATCTCATATGTCTCATATACCCATTGCCCTAAACTGAGACATGGGGATTGTTTCCAGTCTTCTGCAGTTTTGAATAATGTAGTCAGCACATTTTTTGAGATCAGAGGTCAGCAGACTTTTTTCTATTGACATCAGTTGGTGCACATTTTAGGTTTTTGTGGGAGTATGATCTCTTGTGCTTTTTTTTTTTTCCTTATAATTCCTTGGAAATGTAAAAACCGCTCTTAGCTTGTAGGCTGTGGGCAGTATTTGGCCTGTGGGCTATCATTTGCCAGCCCTTGCTTGTATAAATATGTTATAATACAAGCACCTACATGTACATTATTAAGGCTTGGATATAGAAGGTCAGTCACTCTCCGGAAGCTTGGCCAGTTTATGCTCCTTCAGCAGTGTATGAGAATGCCTGTGAACCCTGGGCATCCCTCTTTATCAGTGTGACGGGTCAAAATGACATCTCATCTTTCTAAGTAATTTGCAGAAATCAGTAGTCATAAGAAAAAGATGGATTAATTGGCTAGATAACATTGAAAATTTCTCTAAGGCAACCTTGTATCATAAAATCAAAAGGCAAACAGCAGGCATTTATAACACAAACAACAGACAGAACTCATTTCTTTAACTTACAAACAGGTAAGTAGAAATTGGGAGCTATGGATGACCCAACAGAAAAGTAGACAGAAGCAAGGAAGTCTTCTAAGAGAAAGAATTCAAATGGCCCAGAAAGATGCTTGAGTTCACTGGTAATTCAAGAAATACAGACCAAATCTCTATTGAAATGGGGAACAAAAACTTTTTTTTCTCCTCACAGAAAAATGTCATGGAATTCCTGGCACCTCTGAAACCCGTGGCCATTCGAATAGTGAGAAATGCTCATGGGAACAAAACAGGTGAGGCTGGGGCTGTTTCTGAGGGGGCTGGAGAGGCAGGTGCCTGGACCGGAAGGTTGGGACAGTTGAATTGTGGAGATGCTTTGAGGACAGTGATGGTTTATCCTCTTCGTGGTCCCCGCCTCAGTGAATGTGACAGTGCTCAGGACAGGATCTGCCTCCTGTCCCCTGCCACAGGTATGAGGTTTTCAGGTGGGGAGGTAGGGCCTGGCCCCCCGGACTCGGGGCTGAGGAATGACTGTGGCCTTCAGCCCAGGGGCTGGGGCCCCCCGGGGACCGAAAACAAGAAGAGGCCGCGATCAGATTCAGGACGGTCCCCGGGCTGGTGAGGGAGAGTCCGGGGCAGGGCCCACGGAGCCAGCGGGGCTGCGATGGGAGCTTTTGCAGTCCCCAAGGTGAGGGTCTTGTGATTCAGACCAAAGCCCCGGCCTTTGGTGCAAGTTACGGCCCTGGCACCTGCTAGCCATGTGTCCGTGGGCACATCACTTAACTCAGGTTCCCCAACCCTGGACTGCAGATTGGGACACGTCCACAGCCTGTTAGGAACTGCACAGCCAGAGGTTAGCAGCTGGCGAGCAAGGGAAGCGTCATCTGTATTCACAGCCACTCCCATCGCTCAAATTACCACATTATCACAATATGATAATATTAGAGATAAAGTGCACAATAAACGCAGTGCACTTGAATCATCCTGAAACCATCCCCACTCCCAGTCTGTGGAAAAATTGTCTTCCATGAAACCAGCCCCTGGTTGCCAAAAAGGTTGGAGACCTCTGTCTTAGCACGCCTCTTAGAAAAGTGGGGAGGGGAGGGGAATGTGGCTCTCGGGGTTGAGGCCTCTCATTCTCGGAAAGACTCCTTGGAAAGGCACCTGGTTCTTGGAAAGGCACCTCCTTGTTTGTGCCAGTCAGAGCCGCGGGCAGTCACTGTGCAGGTGGCCCCTCTGGTGCCAAGCTGGGCACAGCCCTGCCGCCACAGACGCTTGTCCGGAGAATGCCAAGGAGCAGGCACTGGTCAGCACAGGGGTGAGGCTGGGAGGGAGGCCAAGATTGCCCGTGTTTGTGACTCCTATGGTCAAACATTTTCTTTGCAGAAAGCCAGGCCACAGGGTCGGAATGCTTCCTGCAGAGGGAAATTTGCCCTGGGGAGAGGGGAGTGGAAGGAAAATCTCTTGAGATTTGGCAAAAACTGTAGGTTTCCCACCACCACTTCCTGCTGCTTCCCCCAAACACCTAGCACAGTGCGAATGTTCCTCCGTGGCTCCCACAAGTATCTGCAGCCTCTGGACCTTACCTTTGTCGTGGTCCTTTTGCAGGGTATGTCTTTGTGGATTTGAGCAGTGAAGAGGAAGTGAGGAAGGCCCTGAAATGCAACAGGGAGTACATGGGTAAGGATGCCCGCATGGTGGCAGGGATTCTTTCAGTTACCCCGTAAGGTCATGTCGGGGGTCTGCTGTGCGCTGCTGGGCACTCACTGCCCAGGGCACTGAGGATAAGGCCCCTGCCTCCTGGGTCAGAGATCAGGCTGAGTTTCCTGTAGAGGATACTTACATTGAGAGGGGAGAGAGAGGCGGTAACCACAGGGGCCGTGCTGTGGACAGATGCAGGCAAGGGTCGGGATTGGAGGATTTAAATGGGATCTTGTCTGCTTGGACCACGTTGAGCTGGTGACTTTGGAGCAAAAGCTGGAGGAATTGAGAGAGCCAGCTCTGGCTTTGTGGGGCAGGGCCATTCCGTTATAGGGAACAGCAAGTGCCAGGTTCAGACTTGGGAGGTCTCTGGACTGTGTACAAGGACATGATCTCTGACCCGTCCCTGGTGTGGACAGGTGACTCAGATCCAGCCATCAACCCCTTGTGAGGACATGAGTTCTCTTAGAGAAGGGAGTAACCTAAGGAGTCTTGCTCACAAGCCAGGTGGTAGGATTTATTGAGCACCTAATATGTGCATGTAGAGGGAAGGTGGTGGTTGCAGTCTAATCAGGCACTCAGAGCGATGCAGGGACACAGCTGAGGGCAGCACCAGGTGGCTCTTCAGGATGGGGCTGTCACCTGAGATGATTCCCAGGGCAGCGCCAGGGACCGGGCCCTGGAATCGGGAAGATGCAGCCCTGTGACCCAGGCCAGCTCCCCCAGGGCTTAAGCCGAGCTCACCATCCGAGTGACATTCAGGCCTGGCTTCAGCTGGGGCCGCCATCCTGGTGACCAGAGCCTGACATGAGGTGCCATCCCCAGCCGCCTTCGCCATGGCCTCTGGAAGGCAGCGGCAGCCATGAGTCTGGAAGCTGGCAGGTTCCGGGCGTCCCCCCAGCTGGGCCCTGACGTCCTTTCCTCACCCAGGCGGACGCTACATCGAGGTATTCAGGGAAAGAAATGTCCCCGCGGCCAAGGCACCCCTGAAGAATGGTGCCAGACCCTGGCAAGGCCGGACGCTTGGGGAGCATGAAGAGGAGGAGGACCTGGCCGACTCCGGGAGACTCTTTGTGCGAAACCTGCCCTACACCAGCTCCGAGGAGGACCTGGAGAAGCTCTTTTCCAAATACGGTAGGGGAGTGGCCTCCAGCTCGCCGCACGCGCCTATGGCAAGCGGTCTGAGTTCCTGTATGCCTGGGCTTAACCTTGGGCTAATGACTTCCTTCTCTGGCCTCAGTTTTCTCATCCATAAAATGGGCTTCACGATCTCTCAGCTGCTGTCAGACAGGATGTAGGTTTAGATAGCATCACAGCTACCTTTCATGGTCTGAACCCAGACTCCCTTAGCTCTCGCTTATTAAAACTCAGAATTGACGGGGTTGGGTATGGTTTTCTGAGAAAACCTTGGTGTCCAAACCCTGACTTTGGTCTTGGAAGCCCACTCACTGTATGTGCGGATATGAAGTGCTCACCATTCTGAATTCTGCTGTCTAAATAGTCCTGCTCTCAGACCAAGCATCCAGATAGGTTTGCCCGCGAGGGCTCTTTTCCTTGTTGCTGCTAGTGTTATTTTGTCGGGCATGGACTTGAAGCCCCGTAATTCAGCTTGGCTCACAGGGCTGTGCCTGTGTAAGGTCATGGTTGTCATGGACCTTGGAAAGAAGGCCATCGAAGGAAAGAAGTAGGGGTACAAAATGGTGGGTAGGGGCCAGGTCGAGTTAAAAAGAATTCATTTGAATCAGTTCTAATGAGATGGATGAAACTGGAGCCCATTATACAGAGCGAAGTAAGCCAGAAAGATAAAGATCATTACAGTATACTAACACATATATATGGAATTTAGAAAGATGGTAATGATAACCCTATATGCAAAACAGAAAAAGAGACACAGATGTACAGAACAGACTTTTGGACACTCTGGGAGAAGGCGAGGGTGGGATGTTTTGAGAGAACAGCATCGAAACATGTATTTTATCAAGGGTGAAACAGATCACCAGCCCAGGTTGGATGCATGAGACAAGTGCTCGGACCTGGTGCACTGGGAAGACCCAGAGGGATCGGGTGGAGAGGGAGGTGGGAGGGGGGACCGGGATGGGGAATACATGTAAATCCATGGCTAATTCATTTCAATGTATGACAAAAACCACTGCAATGTTGTAAAGTAATTAGCCTCCAACTAATAAAAATAAATGGAAAAAATAAAAATAAAAAATAAAAATGACCCAAAAAATAAATAAATAAATAAATAAAACAAAAAAAAGAGATGCTTTTAAGATCCCCTGGAGGGGGATTTCCACTTCTGTTCAGAGATCAGCTGTGGATTGAGAAGGATCGGAGCTTGGTTGAGGCCCTGTCTCAAGGAGAAGGGAACCCTGAATAGGATTCAACCATCTGGCCAATTGGGTGTCACGTCCCAGCCTGGGTCCTGCTTGCCAGATCCTCCCGCACAGGCCAGGGCCCTGGTTTACAAGGCAGGGCCAGCACAGAAGAGAGGGTGATCAGTAGACTCTTGTGTATCCATCTGGGGAGGAGGACGTGGTCACACCCTGGTGTTCACAGTGGAAAGGGTGTACTTTAATGTGAGTATTGTAATACTGTCCCAGCAGACACTTCTGAGACCCTGCGTGACTAGCAGACCCTGTTTAGTACGTGACACTTAGTGCATTTAATCCTCCCTGCTGCCCTCTGAGCTGGGGACTCATGGCACCACTTGACAGATGAGAAGACTGAGGCCTGTAAACGCTGGTGGCTGGCCTGTGGCTCCCCAGGAAGTGGGTGGTGGAGGCAGGGCTCAGCCCAGGCACCTTGCTCTCGGGATGGAAGCACGAAGGACACCCTGGCCCGTCAGGTGTGGGTCTCACGGCAGCCCCTTGCCACTGTCTTTCTTGGGCCCAGCAGCTGCTGCAGCTCCACGCTCCCTCTGGTTAAAACCCCTCCCCTGACTACTGCCCAGAATTTTCCTGCCTGGTGCTCAGGCCTGGCTCCAGCCTCGGGACACTGACGCCCTTCCTGCCCGCAGGTCCCCTGTCGGAGCTCCATTACCCCATTGACAGCCTGACCAAGAAGCCCAAGGGCTTTGCCTTCGTCACCTTCATGTTTCCGGAGCACGCCGTGAAGGCCTACGCGGAGCTAGACGGGCGGGTGTTCCAGGTGACGGCCCGTGGGCTGGCGGGCGCCTGGTGGGCCCGGGTGGTGGGCGGAGGCCATGCGTGTGTGCGCACGTGCGTGTGCAGGCACTGACGTGCACCCGATGCCCGTGAAGCCCCCTCCTGATCTGAGCTGCTTGGAGGGGTCCCCCCCAGGGGCAGCATCTGCTCAGTTCTGGTCCCTGATTTAGTGCCTAGAGGAGCGCCTGGCACATAGTAGGCCTTTAAAAAGTGTTTGTGGATTAAATGAACATGCTCTCTGGCTTAAGAAATACCACTTGGAGGAGGAGGAAGAAGGAAGGAAAGAGTTTTGAACTGTCATTGAAATGCCACAGTATAGAACGTAAGGAGCTTCTCTTTTCCAAGTAACGTGCTTGGCACACACGCCTCCCTTTCCTGTCGTTCACTTATTTGCTCATGATGTGTTGATCCCTGTGGCTGCCCGGCCAAGACCTGATCCTTGCCTACATGGAGCTCTCACGCTCACAGAGGCAGGGTGGGGTGGAGAGCCCTACAGGTATTACTTCCAAACTGCTCAGCATACTCTTTGAGGCGGTGTCCGGCCCCTGTGCTAACCTCGTGGGTATTCTGCCTGAGGCCCCCGTCTTATGACAGCAGTCTCAGCGCTGGGTCCAGCCCCCTCGTGGAGAGGCCAGCATCCCCCGGGCAGGATGTAGAAGCACTAGCCCCCTGTCTGTCCTCACCTCCTTCCTCTCGTCCCCCCTCCAGGGCAGGATGCTCCACGTGTTACCATCTACTGTCAAGAAGGAGGCCAGTGAGGATGCCGATGCCCCAGGATCATCGTCCTACAAGAAGAAGAAAGAGTCCAAAGACAAAGCCAATAGCTCCAGGTCCGTACCTGCCTCCGACCCGGGCTTCCCTGCTCTCGTCCCTCCTCTCCCGGCCCCCAGCTCCTTGTGGTGGCCTTAGCCCCTCATCCATAACCTTGTTGTACCTCAGTTTCCCCATCTGCAAGATGGGGAGAATCAGTGGTGCCTCACTTTCGTGGTGTTGTAAGGACCAAGTGAGTTAATGTGAGCAAAGCACTCGGTCCCTGGCGCGGAGTGAGCACTTGACGGACCTGAGCTGGTGTTAATCTCATCATGGCTCTGTTGTCTGCGGGCCCTGGGGGTTTGGCCCACACCAGGTAAGACGGAGCAGGAGGAGGCTTTGGGGACTTGGGGAGGCAGGCCCAGGAGCTCCTTTCTTACAGGCTTTGCATCTGAAAAGAGCTTCCCCCATTCACCGTCCGTCTGATCTCTGTCCTCCCTCAGCTCTCACAACTGGAACACACTGTTCATGGGTCCCAATGCAGTGGCCGATGCCATCGCCCAGAAGTACAGCGCCACCAAGAGTCAAGTGTTCGACCATGTGAGTGGGCACCCCGTCTGACGCGTCCCCTGCTCTGGGCAGGGGAGGAGGCGCTCTGCACCGGCTCTTGGGGAGTGGTTCTGGGCGGGAAGGCAGCAGGGTCATGAAGGGAAACAATCCAGCTCTTGAACCTTCCAGCAGTGGAGGACGTGAGCTCATTAACCAAGGCGCTGTGCATTGACCTGAAGAAAGCTTCAGCCAAGTAGGGGCACAGAGTGAGAGCGAGCGGGCTGCCCAGGGATGAGACATTCAGGCAGAAATTGAACGGAGGGTGGAGCTGAGTCTATATAAAAGCCCCGAGGCGGGAATGAACTTGACATGAGATCCTTACGTACGAGTGGAGGGGTGAACATGGGGTCCTTGATTCACCCCAACAGACGTGGAACCCAGAACCATCAAGTCAGAGCAGGCATCCATGGGGAGCATCCATAGGGTCTCGCTCCATCCATGCCTCCTCTTCAGACTGTTAGGAGGTATGACAGCTGACCCATCGCCTGCCCGACAGCTGACAGGGCATCTTCCCTTTCCCTCCTGCAGGAGACCAAGGGCAGCGTGGCCGTGCGCGTGGCCCTGGGGGAGACCCAGCTCGTCCAGGAAGTGCGGCGTTTCCTCCTCGACAACGGGGTCTGTCTGGACTCCTTCAGCCAGGTGGGTACCCTTGGGGATGCAGGTCTCAACATCAGGGGACGTGGGCAAGGGTTGGAGGGTTGGGTCTGCCAAAGGCGATCATTGTTGACTTTGCAACTGTCAATTAAAGTAAGAAAGATCATTGGCTCAGACTCCTGGCCTGTCCCTTTGGACTACACAGTCCTTGGAATTCTCTAGGCCAGAATACTGGAGTGGGTAGTAGCCTTTCCCTTCTCCAGGGGATCTTACCATCCCAGGGATCGAACCCAGGTCTCCTGCATTGCAGGCGGATTCTTTACCAGCTGAGCCACAGGGGAAGCCCAAGAATACTGGAGTGGGTAGCCTATCCCTTCTCCAGGGGATCTTCCTGGCCCAGGAATCGAACCAGGGTCTCCTGCATCGCAAGGCAGATTCTTTACCAACTGAGCTGTCAGGGGGGCCCTTACACAGGTTGGGTGGGAGCCCTAAGCATCCTTCATCCTGTCTCTCCCCTGCCCCGCTAGCACCTTACTAAGAGCACCTGTGGTGTGTTTGGGGACTGAGACCTTTCTTGAGCTACGTGGCAGGAGGGTCCTCCACATGCTTCTGCCCCACTAGGTAGAGGTTCTTAGGTATCCGGACAGTGAAGCCTTCAAGTGCTTGCTGAAACACTTGACGTCGCCACCCCCTCACTCCCCCCCACACACACACTTCATTTTACAGACTAGGAGCCTGAAGTCTGGGGGCAGAGAGGGGAGGACAAAAAGGTCAGACAGTGAGTCTGTTGTAGGAGCCTGGACTCAGTCTCAGGGCTTTACACCCCCAATCTGCAGTTTCCTCAACTTCACCAAAACTTAAAGAGTTTCATCTTAAAAGAATGGTTCAGATGGAAGGACAGGCAGCTAGTGGAAGGATAATTACATGCTTTGATGGTAAGTGGGCACATAGAAAGTGGGAATGATGGGTAGGGGCATTTCGTGGGTGAGTGGATGGATGAATTAAGAAAGTGTGCTAGTATCTTAATGCTCACTGCTGCTGCTGCTAAGTCACTTCAGTCGTGTCCAACTCTGTGCGACCCCATAGACGTCAGCCCACCAGGCTCCCCTGTCCCTGGGGTTCTCCAGGCAAGAACACTGGAGTGGGGCTTCCCAAAGCACTCTTTTCCATTTATGCGCTTTATTAGTTCTTTCACCCTCATTACAGCCCCAGAGAGGCAGCTCCTCTCGCATTGAACGGCCCACAGTCACAGATTCACCCGTCTTGGGTCACCATGGAGCTGGATTTGAATGCAGGCCCAAGAGTCCATGCCTCTTACCAGTGCACTCTGTGACCTGAGTTACACTTAAACACTCACTGGTGCCTGGCTTTTCCCCCGCTGCCGATGGCTTCTAGCCCCTTCTCCTCATTCAACCCTCATAGCAACCGTGGGAGGCCTATAGCTAAAAGGTGGGTGTTGCCATTAGCCCAATTTGGAGATGCACAAACTGAGGCCCTTTAGAAGAAAACATAAGCAGAAAACTCTTTGACATAAATCATAGCGGTATCTTTTTGGATCTACCTCCTAGATCTATGAAAATAAAAATAAACAAATGAGATCTAATTACACAAGAGCTTTTGCACAGAAGAGAAAACCATGATCGAAATAAAAAGACAAGCCACAGAATGAGGGGAAATATTTGCAACTGATGTGATCAACAGGGGATTAATCTTCAAAATAGCTCATGCAGCATAATATCAAAAATCATATATCAATATCAGCCCGATGAGAAAGTGGACAGAAAATCTCAGTTGACATTTCTTCAGACGAGACATACAGATGGCCAAAGGCACATGAAAAGATACTCAGCATTGCTAATTATTAGGTAAATGCAAATCAGAACTACAGTGAGGTATCACTTGACACTAGTCAGAATGGCCATCATCAAAAAAATCTCCAAACAATAAATGCTGGAGAGGCTGTGGAGAAAAGGGAACCCTCCTACACCACTGGTGGGAATGTAAATTGGAACAGCCACTATAAAGAATAGTATGGCGGTTCTTTTAAAAACTAAAAATGGAGCTACCATATGATCCAGCAGTCCCACTCCTGGGCATATATCTGGTTACTGTTCAGTCATTAACTTGTGTCCAATTCTGTGACTGCATGGACTGCAGCACGCCAGCCTCCTCTGTCCACTATCTTCTGGAGTTTGCTCAGATTCATGTCCATTGAGTTGATCATGCTATCCAACCATCTCATCATCTGCTGCCCACTTCCCCTTTTGCCTTCCATAGTTTGAAAAGATACATTCACATCAATATTCAGTGAAGCATCATTTGCAACAGCCAGGACATGGAAGCACCTGAAATGTTCATCAGCAGATAAATGGATAACGAAGATGTCCTTCTCTACAGTGGAGTATTACTCAGCCAGAAAAAGAATGAAGTAATGCCATTTAGAGCAGCATGAAGGGACCCAGAGATTATCATACTAAGTGACATAATTCAGAGAAAGACAAGTATCACACAATATCACCTACATGTGGAATCTTAAAAAAATTATGTGAATTAACTTAGAAACAGAAACAGACTCACAGACTTCACAGAAAAGCTTACAGTTCCCAGGGGGGACATGGTGGGAAGGGATAAAGATAATCAGCAAGGACCTACTGTAGGACTTCCCTGGTGGTCCAGAGTGGCTAAGACTCTGCATGTCCACTGCAGCAGGACTGGTTTTGATCCCTGGTTGGGGGAACTAAGATCCCAAGTGGTGTGGCCAAAGAAATGCCGAAAAGTATCTACTAAGGACTTCCTCGGCGATCCAGTGGTTAGGGCTCCATACTTTGACTGCAAGGTGCATGGGTTCAGTACCTGGTCTGGAAACTAAGATCCCACAAGTCACATGGCCAGAAAATAAACAAATTTTTTTAAAAAGGAGAACCTACTGAAGAGCACAGGAAGCTCAACTCAATATTCTGTAACAACCTGTATGGGAAAAGACTGAAAAGGAATGACTATGTGTATAAATGAATCACTTCACTGTACCCTGAAAACTAACACAACGTTGTGTCAGCTGTGTTGTTTAGTTGTACAGTCATGTCCGACTCTGAGTGACCTCCCAGGCTCCTCTGTCCATGGGACTCTCCAGGCAAGAATCCTGGAGTGGGTTGCCATTTCCTTCTCCAGGGGATCTTCCAAACCCAGGGATCGAACCCGTATCTCCTACATTGGGAGATTCTTTACCAAGTATACTCCAGTATAAAACAAAGGAAAAGAAAATAGGCCTAGAGGAAAAACACTTGATTGAAGGTTTCAGATTAGACCAGTGGCCGAGTTGAGACTTGTACCCAGATAGACCCCATGCCTGGACTCCTTCCTGTTCATTTTTTCAGCTTTTATACTCCATCCGCCATGCATTTTTAAGAAAATAATTGCTAACGTTAGCCGGCTCATACTGAATCAGTTTGCTTGTGTCAACTTGATAGACTCCTTTCCTGGAATAATCCATGAAATGGGTGCCGTGTCCCTGTGAAAGGTGATCAGCTGAGCCATAGCCGAGTACATGTCTCAAGGCTGGACACCTGGTGTCTTGTTTTGGGTTCTTCCAAAAGCCAGTTCAGTGACAGATTCAAGCGCAGGTAGTTCATTGGACAACACACAGGCAAGAAGGGGTGAGGCGGGATGAGCCCAGTACAGGCCGGGCTGGTGGGGCGGCAGGCTGAGGCTTTCCTGGGGGGACAGCCACCCAACTCACATCGGAGTTGTCCCACCCAAAGGACTGGGGACGCACCAACTCCAGAGGACCATGGGCCGCTCCCACCCGGTGTTAACTCCTCACACTTGTGGTGGCAGGCGGTCTGCAGTTCCTGGCAGAGGCCCTGAGTGCTGGGATGCAGCTCCCGGCCCTGGCTGGAGTGTTCCAGAAGGTCCACCGAGGGCTGTGGTCGGGCAGTGTCAGAATCTGCCTCGCCTCAGAAATGATGGGGCTGGAATTTGACCCGGGTCGGGGTGGGGGGTCCAACCCTGGAGCCCTCACCCTCATCCCCACCCCTCATCCCCCTCCAGAGAGAGCGGGGTCTCCTGGGCCAGATTTCCTAAGGGCCTGGTACCTAAGGTCTTACATGGGTGCCTGGTCTGGGTTTACCCACCCATCACTTGCTGCAACCGGAGGGCCAGTGACTCCCTCCCGTCTTCGCAACTGAGCTGTCCCCTCCCTGTAGGCTGCCGCCGAGCGAAGCAAGACTGTGATCCTGGTGAAGAATCTCCCTGCAGGCACCCTGGCGGCTGAGCTGCAGGAGATGTTCAGCCGCTTCGGCAGCCTGGGCCGTGTGCTCCTGCCGGAGGGCGGCGTCACGGCCATCGTGGAGTTCTTGGAGCCGCTGGAGGCCCGTAAGGCCTTCCGGCACCTAGCCTACTCCAAGGTAAGGCCACCTGAGCCCTGCTTGCAGGAGAGGACGGAGGGAGCTGACAGATAGGCCGTCCTGGCTTAGATCTTAGACCCTACTTGTGCTGGAAACCACCTGTCTCTGTCAAGATTGCAACTGTCACCCCACCCCTGGGAGCACCTCTGAATGGGGAATGTGAAAGACAGGCTCCAAACATCCCCCAGGAAGCCTGCCTTGGTTCCCTGCTGACGCTGGGTCCCTCAGCTTTCTAGTCCCCTGTAAACTTGAACCATCATCCATGGTGCTTTGGATGCCTTGTACCTACGATTAGGTGAAAGCTGAAAGGCAGGCTACCTCCTGTTTTTTGGTGTATGCTAAGTCACTGCAGTTGTGTCCGACTGTTTGTGACCCCGTGAACTGCAGCCTGCCAGGCTCCTGTGTCCGTAGGATTCTCCAGGCAGGAATAATGGAGTGGGTTACCATGCCCTCCTCCAGGGGATCTTCCTGACCCAGGGATCGAAACTGTTGTCTTATATCTGCTGCATTGGCAAGCAGGTTCTTTACCACTAGTGCCACCTGGGAAGCCCTTTGGTAACAGCAGAAAAAATATATATATTAGTGTATTCCTTTCTGTGGTTGCCATAATAACACCAATTTAGTGGCTTAAAGGAACAGAAATGTTTTCTGTCACAGTTCTGGGGGTCTGAACTCTGAAATCAAGGTGTTCAAGGGCCAAGGGCAATGCTCTCTCTGAAGGCTCTTAGAGGTCAGGGCACAGATCTTTCCTGGCCCCTTCTGGGATCTGATGACTCTAGTCATCCCTTGACTTGTGGCCACATCACTCCAGTCTCTGCTTCTGTCCACACAGCTTTCTCCTTTTCTTCAACTCAGATCTTCCCTCTCCTTTTCTCTTACACGAATTCTTGTCATTGGCTTTAGGGCCTTACCAAGTAATCCAGAGTGACCTCATCTCAGAATCATTTACTTAACAAACTTTTGCAAAGACGTTTTTTCCACATTCAGATGTTCTGGGAATTGGGACATGGACTTATCATTTGAAGGGCCACCATTGAACCCACTGCAAGTAGCTGCTCTCTGTCAAGCACTTCAATGCTTTGCAGACTGTTTGTCTTGTTTATCCTTTCAAAACAAAAACCCTCTGCACGCACATGTGTGCACAAGCGCTCTCTGTGAGTGTGTGTCTGTGGAAGGAGAGAAAGCCTGGTGCCCCACAGCCTGCTGTACCTCCTCCAGGGGGGCTGCCCTGTATCCGTGGCTCTGCCCCCAATTCTGCTGCCATTCACACCCCATTGGAGAAGGTTAAGGGGACACAGATGTGTCCAGTGACAGCAGATGCTCTGACCTCTCCCCTGAACCAGCAAGGGCCCCCGTGTTCTCAGGCCTCAGACGGCACGTAGGGTTCTAGGCTGTGCCCCTCCTGACTCCACTGCCTGGGGTGGTGGGGAGGGAGTCACCCATACTCTGAGCCTCAGGCTCTTGGTCTGTGTCGTGGACTGAGTCCCTCTCCCCGCTTCTCTGCAGTTCCACCACGTCCCCCTTTATCTGGAGTGGGCTCCGATGGGCGTCTTTTCCAGTCCAGCCCCCCAGAAAGAAGAACTCCAAGACGCACCAGTGGAACCAGCGGGAACGGACAGGATGGAGGCAGAAACAGGTGAGAGCCGGGTCTGAGATCAGGGTGTCCTGAGGCAACAGGCAGGGGAAGGGCGGACTGGGGGCAGCACCGAAGTGTGTATCAGGTATTCGGTTGAAAGTTTTTTTCATCCTGACACTGGTGGGTGCCCGACTTTTTGATTTTATAGGCATGAAAAATGTCCTTAAAAAACAGAACGTAAAAATGATGGGTATGGTTAAGGTAAGCTGACTTTTTTTGATTTGTCAAGTAAAGGTTGTGAAAGGGGAAAAAGAAGCAACTAGAATCTGTTAGGAGGGATTCAGAGCAGAGCAAGAGAAGACCACCTTCTAGTTGATAGATCTGCCAGGATAGGTGAGCCTGGCTGTTGTGGGCTGTTGTAAGAGGTCCTCAATCTCCGGGTCCTTGGGATGGCTCCCTCTGGTGTCCAGTGACTGCAAAGGCAGGAAAGGGGACGGACCTGCGACCCCACCCGCTTCATGCTTGGGCAGGGTGGGGGCGCCGCTGGCAGTCCGCAGCACAGCTCTCCCTCGTCAGCCCTGTTGTGCGAATTGAACGGTGAGACATCTTGCTGACCCTGCTCCCTGAATGTCAGGAGTGTCCCCTGTAATTGTGACGTCCCCTGCATGCCAGGTGTCCTCTAGGGGACAGTGCAGCCTTCAGTTGAGAACCACTTGGTCAGAGGCCCGTGACTCCGTCCTAGAATCTGAGGCCTTTAGAGAAGACCCGGCAGCCCCTCACCCAGACAGTAAGATCTTATGCTGGGACCTCCCTGGTGATCCAGTGGTTAAGACTCCAGGCTTCCACTGCAGGGGGCAGGGCACAGATTCCATCCCTGGTCAGGGAACTAAGATCCCACATGCTACACAGTTTGGCCAAAAACAGATAAATAAAAATGAGAAACAATTTTTTAAAAAAAGATCTCGCCCATTGGTAATATTCCTCCTCCTTACTCCCATCTTACCATCAGGTTGCCAGTTTATTCAAATAAGGGTTAAAAAACTGCATCTCCCATTTACCCCTAATAAAAGAATGGGTGTTATAGGAGTGGGAGAAGTGAGCAGTGGGAAACAAAATTCTCACTTGAAAGAACAGTCCTTTAACTGAATAGACCTCACTGTTCACAAACCTCCCTAAGCTGTCTGCATATCCCAGTTCATCTTGGATTGGTAAAACCTCCTTCAGGACTGGCCCAGTCACTACAAGGCATTGGGAACCCCTGGACAAGAAGCCTCATTTCCATTAGGAGGGAAAATTCCTCAGTCTCTGCTTTCTACAGCCCCCAAAGCACCCCTCCCCATTGGGGTTACCAATCATGGATACAGATCTTTGAGAAGTCCCTCACTAGCCCCCGTCTGTGAGTTATTTTTGTCTACAGATTGGATTAGCCTTCTCTTCCAACCTGCTTATGCTCTCTTCAAAAGGAATTTTCTTTATGTAATCACAGTTTCTTCTTAATCAGCCATCAGCCTCAAATTATAGTCAACTTTGATTTTCACTTAAGTTATTAAACTTGGATGTGACTCATGTTTTTTGGCCAAAAGCAAGTCCTACCTTAGAGCACAGATTTGCCAGGAGCGAGGGTCCTGGGAACAGGCCCAGCGGAGGCCTCTGCCTGCCCTGGTGGGACCGCTGAGCGTGGCGGCTGCTGCCACGTGGCCGCGCCCTTCTGCACCTGTCCTGTCACCTGTCCTGCACCTTCCTGTGACGCCATCCTTTTCTTCTGTGGCGCTCGTCACAGTTTGTATTTATCCTGTCTGTTCACTTGTTTCACTTTCGTAACACCCGTCACTGCTGGAGGGGGGACCATGAGGGCATCACCCTCCTACTCACTGCTGGAGGGGGGACCATGAGGGCATGGAGCCGCCCTCCTACTCACTGCTGGAGGGGGGACCATGAGGGCATCGCCCTCCTACTCACTGCTGGAGGGGGGACCATGAGGGCATCACCCTCCTACTCTGCTGGGGCGCCAGGCACACCATGGGGCCCCAGGTATGGAGTGGCTCGAGGAATGTGAGTCGAAAGGAGTGAATGAATGCAGGAAGAGGGGTTTCTGTGCTTCTCTGTCTCCCCCTGTGACAAGTAGGGGCTGGGTCATCCTTGGCCTTGTGTCCCGAGCCCCAGCACGTAGTAGAGCTTGGTGACGTTGGAAGCTCTGTTCTCCATCGTTAGCCCAGCATCAGCACGTGGCGCCATCCGTGCCAGTCATCGCCGTGGCTCCCCTCATGGGTGCCGATTTACACCCACCGTCTCATCTCCCTCTTTAGTTAAAATTAATTAAGTTTTGGCTGTGCAAGCTGGGTTGCTGCACGTGGGCTTTCTCTAGTTGCGGCAAATGGGGGCTACTGTTCATTGAAGTGCTCAGGCTTCTCATCGCGGTGGTTTCTCTTCTTGCGGAGCACAGGCTCTAGGGCATGTGGGCTTAGTAGTTGTGGCTCATGGGCTTAGTTGCCCCAAGGCAGTATGTGAAATCTTCCCCAATCTGGGATTGAACCTGTGTCCCCTGCATCGGCAGGCAGATTCTTAACCATGGGACCACCAGGGAAGTCCTCACCTTGTTCTTAACTTTGTTGTAAACGCTTATCACTTCCAGATGTGCATCCTTACTGCTTCGCTTCCTGTCTGTCCAACTCCCTCACTAGCCGTCCATCCCACAGGGCGGGCACTGCTTTTGCTTCCGCACTGCTATACCCCAGCACCCGAAAAAGCACCTGGTGTCATGTGGGAGAGCAGGAAGTGGGTGCTGAGCAAGTCCGCGGGCCAAAGCCATATTTCCTCACTGCCAGGCCCTGTACTAGGCACCCCGGGTCCTCAGGATGTGAGGCTTACGGCTCCTGGGGAAGCCTCTGTCTTCTTTGTCCTCTCCTAGCCCCGTGGCCGGGCGGGCCACCAGCCTTCTCCGATGCTGTTCTGCATCTGTACATCGGGCAGAAGGCGTTTATGAGAGAGCGGTGAGAAGCCACCCGTCCATCACCGTTAGTCTGACCTGCGTCCTGCCTGGTTCAGCACTGTCAGCTGAAAGGATGGTCTCGAACTCAGCCCTGAGCATCGGCCAGGTGCCAGCTGCTGAGCTGGGGTGACCAGGATGGGCCCAACACATACCACCTTCTCCAGAAGCTCCTGGGCTGGCCGGGGGACAGGGGGAGCTTTTAGGGGGTAGCCGAGATGTCACAGTCATAGACATGGGCCCTGGATGCAGAATGTTTTGGAGCCCTGCAAGGGGAGGCTTTGCCGAAATAGTGTACGCTGGTCAGAAGGTAGAGGACCGCCCCGCCCACCCCTCGATTGAAGGTGTTGAGCATCCCGGGCCAGGCCCTGCCTCCTCCAAGGGGCTGCTGTCCAAGGTCCTGCCATAACTCATACAAAGGCGGCCTTGGAGCGGGGAGGAGGGAGCCCATAGTTGTGGCAAATACAGGGGATTTGGGGCCAAGAAGTTGTGCGCGCCTTTGCTGATTTCAGGCCCCACTGAGTCCTGCGTCGTCGGCAGGCAGATCCCCACAGAGCTCATCTCCCGGCCTCCTTTCACCCTTTTTTGTTCTCTTTCTTACTTGTATCACATACATGGTCCCCGAGCTGTTCGTTTTCACCCGCTCCTCCCCCACGCCCGCCCTCTACACACTGTCCGCGAAGCTTCCCCAGTTCCCAGTCCCCTTGGCCCCGGGGACTCAGCCAGCCCCCAGCCCTGGATTTTCCCAGGCTCCCCAGGAAGCCGAGCAGGAGGGGAATGGATGGAGGAGTTTTTGTTCACTGCCCCCCTCTCCCCTCCCCCTGCCCCTGCCGCCTTTTCTGCAAAGCCCTCCGTTCTCTGTACCCGTCTCGAGGGAGGGGGACAGTGTGTTTTATCTCCCCACAACCAAGACCCTCACCTCCAGATAAAGGGCTCCGAGTGGGGGGAGGTCCTGAAAAGCTGCTTGCAACTGATAACAGTCTGTGCTGTCAGCTTTCCGCGCCCAGAGCCGGGAAGGGGAGGGAGACACCGTAAATTCTGCGGCCCGATTATAATAAAGCCCCATGTGGCGACGCGTGACTGGATTTTATTGTGCCAACCACAGATGGAAGCATAGCCCCCACCCCCTGCCTCTCCCAGCCCCCTTCCACCCCACCTTGCTTTCCAAGCCTTCCCCCTGGTCCCCAGCACCCCCACCCCATCCTGCTCCTGCTTCTTCCTTCTTTTCCTGGATCCTGGTGAGGTCATTGGCAAGCGGTCTGTTTGGTTCATGATACATCCTTTCTCCTTCCCAGTCTTCCTGTCCTCTGCTCACTGGAGGTCAGGGGCAGAAGCGCACTTCACTTGACCTCTGGCTTCGTCCTAGGCCATTTGCATGCCTTTCTAGACGCAGGCATGGCCCACAGCAGGGCCTGGCCACCCAGGGAGGAGGAAGCCCTTCCCAGGGACATGGCCGGCAGAGACACAGTCCCCCGGACTCAGAGCTGTGGCACCCTCCAGCTGTTCTCTAAAGCCGACCACAGGCCAGCCTGCCTCCCACGGCCATGGGCCTTCAGAGTTGGGGATTCGTGGTGTTTTCGCCTGGCCCAGGTGCTGTTCTGCCAGGGTGTCTGTGCATTAACTCTTATAACTGTGTGATTGCCCTTCCCCTTTTCTGAATGGAAAGGAGGCACAGAGAGGCTGAAGGACTTCTGCAAGGTCCCACATCTGGAAGGAGCCAGGCTGTGCCCCGCAACCGCCAGCTCCCAGGTCTGTGCCCTCAGCCATGACCCCGCAGCTTCTTGTGAAAGCTTCAAGCACCCGTCCGTAACTGGGGTCCATCTGCCCACGTGGCAGCTGTTGGCTGGTGCCGCGAGCAGGCTGCCCCTTAAATGGCCATGAGCTCTCCCGGTCACCATCAACCCCACCAGTCTTATCTGCAGAAAAAAATTCTTTTCAGTCACTCTCCCATGAACCTCTCTCCCAACCTGAAGATGCCGAGGGTTTAAGGTTCAGATGCGCGACTTCTGGGACTTTCTTCAGGCCCTCCCGTTTATGGTGATGTGGCCACTGTGGTCAGCAATGGGAGAACATCCTCACAGTGCCTGGCCAGCCCGTGCATGCAGTGGGGCATCTGATCAGCGCCCCTTCCTTTCTGCTTTCTTGTCCGAGACGTCAGGCACAAGGAGAGCCAGTGGGGCGGGTGTCCTTCGAAGCTGAAGGTCACGGTCGTCTTTCCGATTGAAGTTCTCATTCAGAACCTGGAGTCAGCCTCTCAGCACAGCTTTCTTCCCCATCATTAACAATACTTTTTTTCCCACCCCACTTTGCTTTGAAAGTTGGGTTTTGAGGACAAATGGCCACACCATGGAGTCACTTGTTGGGGAAATTGCGTGAGTTTCTTGCATGGGGGAGGGAGCCTTCATGTAGATTTCTTCTTTTTTGTCCTGGAGCGAGAGTCTAGATTCCGGGTTCACCTCCACGGGAGTGCCAACAGCAGAGGCTGCCCTCTGCTGATGTTCAACTGATGTGGAACGGCAGAGTCCTCACTGTTGCTGTTTCCATTAGGACTTGAAAGGGTTGTTTCATGACAAAGCGGTTGAAGTTTAATTAGGACTGGCCAGCAGTGGGCTTGCATCAGAAAGGGCCAGGGAGACAGGGATGGCTCTGGTGCTCAGCATGAGGGTGCAGAGGATGGGTTTGCAGCCCCAGCTGCTCCCTTGGGCTTGAACTACTTGAATGTGAGCGTTCGCAGGAGAACAGAGTGTCCCCATTGTGTGCGGGGCTCAGACCTGGGGTGGGGGAGGGAGCCTTGGAGAGGTGGGGACTAACTGCTTTGGAGAATGGCTAAGATGAGGTTTGATTTCTCCGGGGTGGTGGTGGTTGACGGGGGTGGGGGTCGGTATTGGAGGAGCTTCCAAAATCTGTATGTGGGGGAAGGGTGATTGTCCCCAGACCCTGATCATGAAAGAAACTAGGGAGGTTGACCCAAACAGAACACATTTCCCAGCAGCATAACTTCTCAGGAAGTCCTGATGCAATTCCCAACCTCAAGAGGCTTCCACACTCACCACCAGGGCTGACCGGTGGCCCAGGTTGCAGCCCTACGCCCACCCTGTAACTCACAACCTCACTCTTGCCCTTCCCTTCTCCTGCAGTGCTGTTCCCTCTGATGAATGTTGGTTCATCTAAGTTAGGGCTCCTGGTTTTTGGTCTGTGCTGCGTACTCCTTTCTCTTGAAGACAAGGGCAGGATGGTTTCTCCCCCTCCCCCACTTTGCCCCCCGAGAGTTGCTGAAACACTGCGTGAGCCAGAGTCACAGAGTCCCGTCCCTTCCTGACACTGGCCACTCAGAGACAGAACCCTCTTTATCCCTCTTGGTCTAGCAGGTTCTGTGCTTTAGGTCCTGGTGCTTAGGCAGATAAGACATCATTTAACGGATTTCTTTTGGTGGGGGGATTGGCCCATGCAGATGGTGAGACCCCAGAAGGTGATCAGCCGACAGACGGAGTGGCACATGATGCTTCATCAAAGATGGAAGAGGAGGAGGAAGAGGAGGAGGAGGAGGAGGAGGAGAGCCTTCCCGGGTGCTCTCTGTTTATCAAAAATCTCAACTTCGACACCACCGAGGAGACGCTGAAGGGAGTGAGTGACCTCCTGGCCCAGAGGGAATGGGTGGGGGTGGGACTTCTGGTCTGCTGATCTATCCCGGTGGTCCCTGCATCTGTTTCCCACCCCCCACCCCTCACCTAGAAGCGAGACCTGTGGTGGCATGTGGATGAGAACCTGCAGCCACCTGCTTGAGTCGTTAGCTAGGCCGTGTGGTGGGCATCTCACCCAGAGATGTGAGGCATGGCCAGACACCACCAGGGACTGGGAGGGGTGTCTTTGTGCACATGAGCCACATGAGAGGCCCTCTCGGGGTGCCTGGGGAGGCGTATGCATTGTGAAAGCTGTAGTCAGAAGACAGGCCCCTCCCCACGTGGTGTCTGCGAGGCTGACATAAACGCCAAGCCAGTGCACTCTTCTGGCTTTGCGGAGCCAAGCAGGGGCACAGCAGTGAGCAGTCCTGCCAGGAGACCCTGGTGGCCGAGAGTGTTGCATTCATAGGAGGGGCAGAGGGGAAGACGATGGGGAAGTCCAGTAGCCTCCACTCTTACTCGCGTCCTGCCCACGCCTGCAGGGGACTGGGTCCCCTCCGGCTTTCAAGTCAGCGGTCCCCAACCTTTTTGACACCAAAGATCGATTTCGTGAAAGACAATTTTTCCATAGACTGGGACGGGGGCCATGGTTTCAGGATGATTCAAGTGCATTTCATTTCTTGGGCACTTTTTATTTCTGATCTAACACCGCCGCTGATCTTACTGGAGATACTGGTCCACAGTCTGGAGGTTGGGGACCCCTGTTTCAAGACACGCCTGCACCAGTTGCAGGATTAGCTGGTAACACATGCTGACCTTCTCTTTCAGGTGTTTTCCAAAGTGGGTGCGGTGAAGAGCTGCTCCATTTCCAAGAAGAAGAACAAAGCAGGTATTCCACATGAGAGCTCGGTCAGAGAGAAACAGTTGTGAAAGAAATGGTGTTGCTCTGGGTAGGGGGTGAGGGTGCCTCTTGCTCGCTCGTTCTGAAGGTCTCCTTTCATTTCAGATCATTGCCAGCCCCAAAACTCTCCCTGTCTAGCTCGTCCAAAATGGTCGTCTTTTCTGGGTCCCTGGAGACTTGTGGTTTCCAGTGGGAGCAGCCATGCACATCAGCTTCTCCTGAATTGAGACCCTTTGCCACCCTGGATTGTCAGGGGTGGTTTTGGAGCAGGGCTGTTAGGGGGCTGGCAGGGTTGACCCTGTTCAGCGGCAGACACTTCTCCATCCTCCCAGCATCTCTGTGCTCCTGGAGGATCTTCCCTCCAGGGAGGAGCAGGAACCAACCCATCGTGGGCTTTCCCACTTCCCTCCCAAGACCAACCACCCAGATATGGGGCACCTGAAACACTCCACCGAGTCATCAGCCACGCCCCTCACTGGCCTTGGGGTGCCTGGGCCGGGCAGATACCACCCTCATCCCTCCAGTCCACCTTGGGCATTCTCACGAGTCCCTTGGCCTCTGGTATGTTTTTCTTTTCCAGCCCTGGCTTCCTACAGATGATGGACAGGCCCTCGGCCCTTGCTTTTTTTTTTTGTAGCCACAGAGTCCCTGTCCCTTCAATTTGGGGCATTTGTAGGGATACCATGTGGGTCAGCCCATGACTGTGTCCTGAGAGATAAATGAGCCAGTGGTGAGAGCCCAGGGGACCCGGCTGGACAGGAGCCCAGCCTGAGGTTCTCCATGTCAGATCAAGACTTGGAGAGGAGGGAGGCTGAGCAGTTAGCGGGGTGTGTGGCTGAAGGAGGCGGCAGACGGCTGTGTTAGCAGGTCTGGAATGTACTGAAGGGGCAGAAGATGATCCTGGAAATGCAGGCGGATTCCACATCACAGAAGGGCTTTCTGCTGGAGAGAGGAGTCTGGGCTTTTTCCCAGAGGCGCCTTGGAGGGTTTGAAGCAGACACGTGGCATAGGATTTGGGGCATTCCCCCGTATTGGTTTGGGCTGCCGTCACAAAGCACCAGGAACCAGGTGGATTCCACCGCAGAAGTTCACCCTCCCACAGTTCTGGGAGCCTGAAGTCCAGGATAAAGGTGCAGGCAGGGTTGCTTCATTCTGAGGGCTGTCAGGGAGTGCTGTTCTGAGGGCTGTTCCCTCGCTGCTCGGCTTGCAGGTGAAGGTCTTCATGTTCACATGGCCTTCTCCCCATGTACACCTACCCTGTGCTCAAATCCCACCCGCTCCCACCACCCCTTTTCTTTCTCATAAGGACAACAGTCTTAATTGGATTAGGGCTTAGCCTGATGCTGCTAAGTCACTTCAGTCGTGTCTGACTCTTTGAGACCCCATTGACTGTAGCCCACCAGGCTCCTCTGTCCATGGTATTCTCCAGGGAAAAATACTAGAGTGTATTGCCATGCCCTCCTCTAGGGGATCTTCCTGACCCAGGGATTGAATCCCCATCTCTTACGTCTCTTGCACAGGAGAGTTCTTTACCCCTAGCACCACTTGGGAAGTCTAATGACCTCATCTTTAACTTGACTATCTGTGTAAGGAACCTGTCTCCAGATAAGGTCGCATTCGGAGAGGCAAGGATTAGGACTTCAGCATACACATTGGGGGGTGGGGGTGGGGCACAGTTCAAACCATAACATCCCTGTTCCCCCAAGAACTACATATATAATTTAGGCTACGAGGAAAGGCTACAATGTAAAGTACCAGGTGAACAACATGAAGGCTCTGTTGTGCGGGGTTCAGGAAAAGAGGTGATCCCTGAAGTCTGGGGCGTGAGTCATGCTGGCAGAGGGGTTGCCCGCTCCAGCTGAGGCTGTTCCTGCGGGTTTTGGTGTCACTTTGCCCCTCTGGAGCCTGCCCCCCGGCCCCCCAGAACACTCTCCAGCTTTAGAGCAGTTACTTGGTCTTCCGGTGTCGTGAGCAATTCTCAAGATCTACAGTCTTTCAAGAGCCTCTGTTTGAGAGCCCTGCTCTCTGGGGCTCATCCATCAGTGTCTGTTATCAGCGAGGGGCTCCAGAGGAACCAGAAAGCTGGCTCAGCTGGGATCATCAAGGGGACAGTTGTAATGAAGGAGCCCCTGGGCTGGGCTGGGCTGAGGGGACCCTCAGGGGGTGTTGAGGCAGTGGGTCCTGTGGGAGAGCACCCCTTCCCTGCTGAGCCCAGAGGCTGTGGGGGAGGGAGTCCTGTGACCAGAGCCGTAGAAGAGGGGCCCCCAAGGACTTCCCAGGGGGTGGGGGGCAGGCAGGAGGCTGAAGACTCCATGCTTCCAATGCAGGGGGCCAGGGCTCAATCCATGGTCGGGGAACTAGATCCCACATGCCGCAACTGAAGATCTTACATGCTGCAACTAACGTACATGCCGCAACTAAGACTGGATGCAGCCAAATAAAGAAATACTCAAAGAAGAAGAGCCACCAGCAGAGCCAAGGGTGTGGACTGGACACTGGTGCTGCCAGGACACGCCAGAGCAGGGAGACGATGGCGTGCATGGAAGGAACCAAGACCCTCAGCCCTCTCCTCCGCCCACCATCTCAAGTCAGGGCTTCCCACTGGCTGAACCCCAGCAGGAAGCCAGGTGGCCAGGCAGCCCAGGTTGTGCTGTCTGTGGCCGTCAGCCTCCCAGGGCAGGAGAAGGGCAGAATGGATCTGCACAGCGCCAGTGACTCGGTGACGAACTTGACCTTGTGACTACTTGCTGTCTGCACCATCTCAATGCACTTTTTAAATAGCCTGCAGGCACAGACACCCCTCACCCACCACCCACACCTTAGACCCTGAGAACGGAGCTTGCGCAGATCCTCTGAGACACAAATACTGGAGGTCCCCACAGGGTGGTGTGGCTTGTCAACCAGCAGATCCGTCTGAGCCTCCCTGGCGTTGCCCAGAGAGCCACGCACATCTGGGCTGTTTGTGGAATGCCTTCCTGCCTTGGGCCCCCCATTGTGACAACACGTAGTTGTGAGCGGAAATGCAAACAGGCAGGAGCACGTGGCAGAGGCGCAGTCTCTCGAAGGAGAGATGCAGAGATGCGGACCACTGAGGCGGTAATGATACACCTTTGAACCTCCTTTGAGCCCGTCAGCCTTGAGCCAGCCCTCTTTGAGTGCAGCTGTGAAAGAGAGTTACAGAATGAAGTCAGTAATCGACATCCCATTTTGTGTCAAAAGGGCGAGATGTCAAGAGAGAGCTTATTCGTACGTACCTGCAGTTACACATGTTTATGTACAGGAAGCCAAGTTCCCTATAAATGGTTGCACTGCCCCTGGCTGTCTGAACCCTTGCTACTCATGCCCCAGCAGTATGAAGCCAGAGGGGTTCTCATAACATAGTCACTCTCCCTGTCCCAAGCTGATATCTGAAACCTGGGAACCGGAGTTCACTGGATGGTCAGGAGCACTTTGCAGAGTAAGCCCCTGGCGCCCTTGACTCTGTTGCATGTGTCCATTCTGTGCGTTACGTATGGAAGCAGGGGACTGCCCGGGTTGAGTTTTTTGCTGCTTGGCCCAAAGGCGGTCATCCCTCCCTGTGGAAGACGGGATTCTATCACAAAGTTAATTATTGTGTCTATCATCTGCTAATTAATAGTCTGCCAGGCCTCAGGTGGCGGCTCTGTAACCACGTTGGCTGATTCTTCAAGACGACCAGTAATAAATGGCAGGCCGGGGGCTGGGGTCTTTCTGGGAACCAAGAGGGGCATGAAGAAATGAGAGGGTTGAGGGGACGCCCAGGGGGCCCCAGAAGCCTTTGAACTTGGTCCGTCCCAGCTTCTTTATTTTCCTCCCCACCTGGCGCCCTGGTGCAACTCCCGGCTCTGTCTGTTTCAGGAGCGCTGTTGTCCATGGGGTTTGGGTTCGTGGAATATAGGAAGCCAGAGCAGGCCCAGAAAGCTCTCAAGCAGCTCCAGGTAAGTGGGGGGTCTTGGCTGAGGTCCCCCAGGGGTGGTGCTAGGCAGGTAGTGGGGTGGGTGTCCTGTCCAGCTTCTGAGATGAAGCAGGAGTGCAAGCAGGTCCACATCTTCTGAGGCCCTAGGGGACAGCGGCCTGAGGCCCTGCGGCTTCCTCGGCTCCCCCAACTCTCTGCGGTGCACTCATTCAGTCTCTTGATCAAGAGCCTGGTTTGTGCCAGGCCTCGGGGAGACCGGTGAAGCAGACCTCTGAAGGAGTAACGCCAAGACCAGGTCATGAGAAGGGCTCAGGTTCGCTGGCAGGAAGGGGCAGGAGCAGTGCTTTCTTGTGCACCTCCTCCTTTCTGGAGACCCCCTGGCTCCCTGCTATCACCTGCCATTCCTGCAGCCACGCAGGGTGGCGGCCAGGCTTGGGGGGGGGCCACTGTGGGCAGGCTGGGCACTCATGCTTCTGCCTCTTGAATAAGCTCCTAAATGCAGGGACCAGGGAAGGGGCTCACAGGGGTCCAGGATCCCTTTTAAACCAGTATTTGGAACGGCCCGTGTCTGTCTAGGCCAGGCAGGCAGTGTGAGATGGAGCTGACCAGGGCGGAGTGTACAAGCCAGGGCCACGCCCTCCCGGCTCCTTGTTTAAGACATGTGCTGGCTGGACTCTGGGTGGTAAGGGCACCCATACAGGGCCACCTCTCTGGGGAGCCGGGCTTCATCATAGGGACCCTCCAGGCAACTGAGTCTGTCCCAGTAGAGCTTGCTGGTCAAGAGAAAGGCCTTAGGGGTTAAAGGAAATGTAACTGGGCGCTTAGCCCGTTTGATTGTTTTTGTAGACATTTTTGTAGAATTTTGATGACTCGCCCCTTGGCCCAAGGTGACTCCCAAAAGAGCTGAATTAGGTTTCGGTGGGGGTTGGGGCAGGGGTGGCCTCTTCTTCCACCAGGAAAGGCTCTCTGCTCTCCACCTCAGGTGCCCACAGGGCCAGGTTGGCCCTGTAAACGAGCCCAGGGGCTGGCATCACCCAGAGTAGAATTGGGGTGCCTCCCCCATCTAAAGAGGCCACGTCTTGGCCTCAGCCAGTTACCGCCTCACAGGCAGGTGGGCCCCAGCCATACCACATCGTCTCTGGCTTTTTGTTTTGTTTGTGGTTTTTTTCAAGAGACACTGGAAATCCAACTGTGTCGTTAGATGCCATGTGCTCCTCTAAGTGGATTTCAGCTGTGCAGGCCCAGTGGTCTGTCTGTTCTCATCCACGTCATCCAGGAGTCTCAGACCTCCCCCTGCACACGGGAGAGTTACGTTCTGTGCCTTGCTTTGTGCTGCATATGGGCATGTTGCCGCCCAGAACCGTTTCTACAAGGCTGTGTGTGCTGTATTTTATGGGAGATTTAAAGGATTTTCAAGGGTAATTTTGCTAATACATCAGTTTTGCCTAAGGGACCCACATTAGAGCCTCACTTTAGAGGTATCTCCGCTGTGATTTAGATTTTTTTTTCCCAAGAGCCTACAATTCAAACCGAAGTCTCTCTCTGGAAGCCAGACCGAAGGGGCTTACTTGGCCTGAAAATGCTTATAAACAATGGAAAATTCTGTGCCCGTCGAATGGCTTAAAGGTCAAGGCTATTCTTGGCGTGAGAGGACTCGGAGGGCTGGGGCTCCATCACCAGCAGCTGCTGCCCACGCTTGGCAGGAGCCACTTTGAGGAGAAACCCTTCTCGGTCCTTGACCCCAGCGGGCTTCTCTGCCCTGAAACAGTCAGCCCCCGCCGGCGTTGCCGTTCCCCTCGCTCTGCCGAAGCCCGCTCCAGCAAAGGACGGTGCTACGGGCGCGTGTTTCTTAAGACAGAAGGACAGAATGTGTTGTCTCCCCTCGCAGGGTCACGTCGTGGACGGCCACAAGCTGGAAGTGAGGATCTCGGAACGAGCCACCAAGTGAGTCTCCACTCCCCACCCCCTGCCCCTTCCCTTGAATCTGAGTCCGTCCCTTTAGCCCCGACGCTGGTGCCGCAGAGGGCGTCTCATGGCCCTTTAACATCCTCACTGACCCAACCCTTCTCACCCCTGGGGCCCCGTCCTGATCAAGGAGGTGCCCCACATGCCAGCTTCGATGCCCTTTCCCCTGGTGAACTGGGACTGCACCAGTCCCCGGAGTAAACGTGTAATGCACACTCATTACAACAAAAGGAACACAGGCCAGAGAAGCAAGCAGAGCCTGCTTGTTCTTGCTGGTATCAGTGAGCCAAGGCAGAGTCAGTCTAGAGTTGTTGGTGCTTTGATGAACCAAAAGCAGCAGTAAGACCTAGACTTCTTATTCTTTACATCTTTACGGGGCTTTCCTTATTGGAGCCAGACACCAGTGCCCAGAGACAGCCTCTGCTTAATTTGAAAAGAGGTTCAGTAGGTGTTAGAGATGGAAGCAGACCACTGCACCCAAAGACCAGTTTCGTGAAATAGTAGAGGTCTTCTGGTGGGTTTAGTGTTGTCCTGCGTCTTCACCTGCTTGCACATCCTCACTGAACTCATACACCAGGAGTGCTTTGAACAGCAGCCGGCATGTAAGGGATCAGACGTTATCATTGTTGTCATCGTCAGAGCCACCCGCCCCACCTCACTGGTTGTTGAGCAGATTGGTTGCTGCTGAGCTCCCCTGAAGCTGCTGCTGTTTCTTCTTTCTCTGTCTGTTTTTTTAATGCTACCTGTGAAGCCTGCCTAGGCAACATCTGGTGGTCTCCGCCCATTCTGGTCCATGCCATGCTGAACATCTTTAGCCAGAAGCAGGCTTGGTGCGGGAGCCCCCAGAAGCTAACGGAGGCTCCTGAGCCAGGACTTAAAGAGTGAGAGTCCAAGCTTCGAGCCCTGCAGCTTTGGGTTCTAATCCAGAGGGCTCCATGACCTTAGATGGGTGACTTTGCCCAACATGTAAAATGTGAAAACTGGAGATTGTGCACAAAGCATTTAGCACATGCCCTGCACATGATCACTTAGCTGGTGCTGGTCTTTGCTTCTCAGTGCCTTGACTCCAGGGAGTCAGGCTGAAGTCACCTTGCAGGCTCTCAACTCCTAGGCCGTGTTTATTTAGTCTTTCATTCAACCAAAAATTACTGAAAGTCTGCTGGGCACCAGACAGTCTTCCCAGGAGCTGGGGAGGGAGAAGCTTTGTGGGGTGTTCATTCTGAGGTCGTGCTATTTGATAGAACCTTCTGTAAGGATGGAAACATCCTATGATGTTTTCTGCACTGTTGCACGCATGGTGTTAGAGCACTTGAGACATGACAGGTACCACTGTGTTAGTTACCTATCACACTATAACTGAGTATCTTGACAGATTAAAACAATAAATGTTTGGTATTATCTTACAGTTTCTGAAGGTCAGGAATTCAGGAACAGCTCAGCTGGGAAGTTCTGCCTTGGAATCTCTTAGGAGGTCACAGTCAAGATGCTGGGCAGGGCTGCAGTCTCATCCGAGGGCTCAACTGAGGTTGATGGTTTCACTTCCAAAATTGTGGCCTCATATGACTGTTGCCAGGAGGCCTCAGTTCCCCACCACATTGGCCTCTTCCCTAGACCTGCACGAGTGTCCTCACGGCACAGCAGCTGGTTTACCTCCAGACCGAGTGATCCAAGAGAGAACAGGGAGGAAGTGGCAGTGTCTTGGCAGTGTCTGTTCTGACCTGGTTTCACAGGAGAGCAGGAGGGGAGTACACATGAGGGGCATAAATACCAAGAGGCAGGGGCCATTGGGGACCACCTTGGAGGTTGGATGACCCGGTAGCTGAGGAGTTGAATTTTTTAATTTTGTGTCATGTTAATTGAGATTTAATTGTTCACCACGTGTGGCTGGTGGCTCCTGTATTGGACAGCACAGCCCCAGAGGATAGACAGCAAAGAGACACACGACTAAATGTGTAAAGGGACTTAAGACTCCACGCTCCCAACACAGGGGGCCCAGGGTTCAATCCCCAGTCAGGGAACTAGATTCCATATGCTGCAGCTAAAGATCCCATATGCTGCAGCTGAAAGCCCTGCATGCCACGAGGAAGATAGAAAATCCTGTGTGCTGTGGCTAAGACCTGGCTCAGCCAAGTAAATAAAAATAAATGAAGTTTAAAAACAAAAAAACCCCAAATGGATTTTTTTTTGACAGTAACGAATGCCAGGAAGAAGAACAGAGCCGTGGGGATGGGAGTGGGTTGCTCTTTTAGTGGTGATAGGGAAGAGGTGATGTGGATCAGACTTCAGATGAGTCAGAACAAGTCACTTTAATACCAGCTGCTGTTTATGGAGGGCTTGTCCTGAGCTAGGCACAGTGCAGAGTGTTTCGACACATCTTTCTCTCATTAAAACCTCAAACAGTCTGAGAAGGTTGGCACTGTTATTAGGCCTGTGATACATCTAAAAAAACTGAGACCCGGAGAGGCCAAGTAATAACTTGCTCAGGATCACACAGATTCTAAGTGGCCACAAGAGTCTCATACTCAGATCATCGACTCAGGCCCCTGTTTGAGACTGTCTGCTGCTGCCACGGAGCGGAAGGTCTCCCTGGAAGAGCAGGGGGACAGGTTCCAGGTGGCCTTGAACCTCAGTGGAGAGTTTCCTCTCGCAGCCCTGGCCGGGCTCGGTGGTTAGAAGGTGCTTCAGGCCCCTTGTAGTTCAGTTGGTAAAGAATCCGCCTGCAATGCAGGAGTCCGCCTGCAGTGCAGGAGACCCAGGTTTGATTCCTGAGTTCAGAAGATTCCCTGGAGAAGGAAATGGCAACCCACTCCAGTATTCTTGCCTGGAAAATCCTATAGACAGAGGAGCCCGGCGGGCTACAGTCCATGGGGTTGCAAGAGTCGGACATGACTTAGCAACTACACTACCACCACCACCAGGCCCTTGTATGCTGTGCTTCCGGTCAGTGATGAAACGTCTCCAGCAAGACCTGAAGAGCAGCCAGAGTCTCTCGGGACACCTGCAAAGATACAGAGGAGACTGGGTTTGGGGAGAAATTGCCCCCTGCTGCCCCCATTGGTGTTCTTTTCTCAAGTGTCTGCTAGTCCCAGATGAAGGGCAGCAGACACCCCCTGGGTGGGAATGTGTCACCTGGACATCCACAGCTGCAGCGAGGAGACAAGAATTAGGCTGCGTGCCACCCAGGGGAGCTTCCCTTCCCCTTCCTCTCAGTCGCATCCACACTGACTCTCTGAGTCCCTCACCTGAGCAGGGAACAAAAGCATCAGTGCTGGTGGCGGGGCTTGGTGGTGGAGTCAGCGGAGGGCAGCAGCTATGCCGAGGTCCCAGATAACCCTAAACCTTCCCCTGACCCTCCAGGCCGGCCCTGACATCGACCCGGAAGAAACAAGTGCCCAGAAAGCAGACAACCTCCAAGATCCTGGTGCGGAACATCCCCTTCCAGGCTGACAGCCGTGAGATCCGAGAACTCTTCAGGTAAGAGGCGAGGCTGTGCTGGGTGGGAGCCAATGGTACACTGAAGGCCATCACAGTGGCCTCTCAAAAGTCATGTTCTCGCCGCCAATGATGTGTCTCCCTTAATCTCAGACACTGCTGTCTCAGAGCACTGGGCAGAAAGGTGTGCAAATGGGATGATCAGTTTTTCTCTATTCCCACTGGTGACCTACAGGAGGAGCAGGAACCAGGCGGACTGAAGCCCAGGTCCTCCCTTGATGGGCCTGAAGTCCTGCCACCCAAATTACCCTTTGGTTTAAGCCAGCAATCCACTGCCGTCTCTGCATATGCGAAACACCTGGTGACTTTGATAAATGCACCTTTGCTCAGACTCCACCCCCAGAAAGTTACATTCCTTTCACTGGGGGTGGAGCACAGACATTGGTCTTGGTTTCAGAATGCCCCAGGAGATTCCGATATCCTGTCGGGGTTGGGGACCCCTGGTCTACATTGCTGTCTGTGTAAATCCCCTTTTGAAATGAGGGGAGATTGCATACCTACATTATGTAGTCCATCGGCAGCCGCTAACACAGGAATCGAAACTCAAAGGTCTCTCAGAGGGCGGGCAGGAAACAGCCTGGGAGAGCTGGCCAGGTGGGGACTGACGGGCTGGAGGGCCAGCGGAAATCAAGGTGTCTTAGGTTCTTCTCTTAGGTTCTTAAAGAGAAACTGGCAATCTGGATTCTTAAGAGGGAATAAGTTGGCAACTAATTCACTTTCTAAAAGCAGTTCATGTGGGACAGAGTCTATGCGTGGGCCAGATAGAGCCTGGGGCCAGGGTTTGCAACCCTGTGCTGGTACATTGCACCAGCTGGTTCGGGTAAGTTAGCTATCACCCAGTACCAAGCCCTGGATGAAGTGTCTTTAGGGAGAGGGCCTAAGGGGGAAACGTTTAAAGCAAGCATGCTCTCCAGGTGTGTGCCATGTAGCACAGAGAAGCAGCCGCCAAGCTCTCAAAACCTAAGGGCAGATGACTTTGGCGCCAGCCTTGCAGACTATGGAAGCCTGGCTGCAAACTTAGAGTGTTCTGGGAACCTGTAGCTCCTTGGCATGCACATGGGGGGTTGGGGTGGGGCATTTAGGATTCTGTGTATTAGACCTTGTTTGTCGATCCCGCGTTTGTCCAGTTCTGGCACAAGGATTGGGAGAGCTCAGTCCCCGTTAAGGCTACCTGTTAGCTTCTTGCTAGGTAAGCTGTGGATGGAAGGTAGAAGTCCTGGATTTTGGAGACTAGAAAGGATGTATCATCATTGTGTGAAATCTACCCTCTTTGCTCTTACTCAGTGGTTTAAAGAATGGGAAGCCACTTGAGGGATTTCCTTTAAGAACTTCTGTCCTCCTTCCCACGATCTAAATCACACACTGGCGTGCCGTTCATTAACAGACGTGGTCAGCACGGTGCCGATGTGAAGAAACCTGTCGGTTTCTGAGTGGTAGGGTCTTGGCTATAATTCCAGGATCCCCCCGTGTGGTGTTAAAACCTGGTAAGGTGGAGTCACAGTAGGGGTGCCGTTTTCCATCTCCCGATATCTGGGGAGGCGAGTCGAGGAGTGAGCATGCCATCCCAAGAAGGTATGTACCCTGAGCCTCTCGCGGCTGCTGGTTTCAACGAACTCCGGATTTTTGAGGAGTCCAGTTTAAGAACTGCCAGATCAAACCAGGATTGCACGTGTGGATCGAGAATCACATCTCGCTGAAATGACAGCTTTGCTTGGTTCTGCAGTCTGAGAATGACACTGATCCAGGGAAACAAAAGACCCAAGATGGAGAAGGAAAAGCGCTGTCTGGTCTCGTGTTTTACGTTTGTTTTGAGAAGACAGGGAATTAGTGTCCCTGCCTGAACATTGTTACGCGTGGCGTCTCTTCTTTCTTCCATCCCCAGCGGTAGTTTTCACTGGTCCCTGATAACCCAGAGCCTTCTTGGAGCCTGGCTTTGTTGTGTGTCCTGCCCAGGAGTTTTGAGACCATTCCAAGTGGGGGCAGCAGGGGTCGCTGTGAGTCTTCTCAGAGAGACATGCTGAGCCAGGAAACCAGACCCAGTTTCAAACAAAGCCAGCAGCCCGCAAGGGTCAGAGGCAGGGGAAGATGTCAAGGTTCAGGGGAACCAGTCCAGTTCATTTTGCTGGTTAAGTGTCATGGGCTTATCCTACCAGGCGTGATCACAGCTCACTGCGTGTTGAGCTCCGCACCATGCTTTCCTGTGCTCTTATCTTTTTTTTTAAGCAGCAGAGCAGCACTGCAAAGGAGGGATGCTGTTATCCCTTCTGTACTCAGAGGGACCCTGGAGACCTGGAGAGACGAGGTTTCCAGCCCAGGACCACACAACTGAGCTGGAAGTGGGGTGTCCTTGGTCTGACCCAGAGCCCTGGTTTGGAACCGCACCTCTCTGGGCCTGGCCTGTTAATGCTTCTGTTGCGTCTGGAAGAAGTTACCGTCTCCCAGATCGTTTAGTAGAGCTGCCACCCACGAGGGTGTGCCGTTTGTACCAGGCACTGCTCTAGGTACTGGGCACAGAGCCGTGTCAGGAGAGACGGGCTCCTGTTCATGAAGGGCCAGGGAGGAAAGTGACAGTGACAGACAGTGACGCACTCAGGGGGTGCAAGCTGGAGTGCAGGGCCGTGGGAGAGTGTGTCTGCTTCTAGAGACCACCTGTTGAGAAGCTGCAGCTCCCCTGCCCTCCCCAGGCCCCTGCCCCTGAGCTGGGGGCAGCAGCTTCTCAGCTGAGGCAGTGTTGGCCTGAGCCTTTCCTGGAGGCCACCAGCCTTCCATCTGGGCTTCACTGCCCCAGACCCCAGCCTCTAAAACCCAGCCTGACGGGTGCCCAAAGACCCTGCAGATCCACGCCTCTGCAGGATTGTCCTCTGGGCCAATTCAAGACTCGCCCTTTAGAAAAGTCAGGGAGGTGGGACCTCCCTGGTGGTCTAGTGGTTAAGACTTTGCCTTCCAGTGCAGGGGGCTATGGTTCAATCTGGGAGCTGAGATCCCACTCGCCTCAAGGCCTAAAAAGCAGAACATAAACAACAGAAGCAATATTGTAACAAGTTCAACAGAGATTTTAAAAATGGTTCACATCAAAACAAGGAATTTTTTTAAAGAGTGAATGGAGTCGCGGTGGAGGAAGACACCAGTCCCCTCTCTGCTGCCCCTTCTGTACCTGTTTCCCCAGCATAAAACAATGGTCCTCATACTGCTGGTAACGTGTGCTGCAAATTTTGAGAATTATGCCACAGTAATAATCACTAGTGTTTATCCCTATCACAAAGCAGACTTTTGTAGCCCGACCTCTGCGCCAGGCACCATGGGCTGAAGTGCTTTGGCTCTTTACAGCCCTGCAGAGTGCTTGTCATCTCCAGTAACGAAACCAGCTCCGGAGCCCAGAGTCCTACCACCGGGTCGTCAAGTCGGCTCGGGCTGGCACCTGGCTCCCTTACCACGTGGCTGCCTCAAGGGCTGTTAAAAGGATTAAGTGAGATTATGCATGTGGGGCACTTAATACAGCGCCTGGTACGAAGCGGGTAGTTAATCAGTGTTCACTGTGGTTATTAAACAGCACAAAGCCAGTGGCTTCAGGCTGGGAACCCAGGGCAGGGCTGACTCAAGACAGAGCCTGTATCTTTGACAGCAGTTCCGGATCCTTAGAAGTTTTCTGCAGTATGTCCATTTTAGAAATTTTTATTTATTTTATTTTTGACTGTGCTGGGTCTTCATTGCCACACAGGCTTTTCTCTGACTGTGGAGAGCCAGGGGCCCTTCTTGAGTTGCGGTGTGCAGGCTTCTCACTGTGGTGGCTTCTCTTGTTGTGGAGCATGAGCTCTAGGCCACGTGGCCTCAGTAGTTGCTACTTCTGGGCTCCAGCACACCGGGTCGATAGTTGTGGCCCATGGGCTTCGTTGCTCTGTGGCATGCGAGTCGCTCCTGGACCAGGGATCGAACCCCTGTCTCCTGTCAAGTGGGCGTCCCCGCTGCTCTCTGGGCTGGCTCTGGGGTTGGTCTGTCATTCACTGTGGAGGCCACGGGCCCCTGGTGCATAGATGGTTCCCAGTAAATGTGTGCTGAGCACCTGGGTTTAACCGCAAAGCCCTCCTCTCTGGGGTCTGACAGAGGTGGGCAGGAGACACAGAGAGGTTAAGGAGTTGGCCCAGGGTCACACAGCTCTGTAGCAGCACAGCCGGTGGCTCTCGCTCTAGACGCCCCTCCCTCACTGCCCCTGAGGTCGGGATGTCAGGTGGCAGAAATGCCGCAGGCCGGCTGGGCCTTCGGCACCGGGCTGCAGATGGACGCTTTTTCATCTGAATGTTTTTTCCCCCTTCCTTAGAGGTGTGAACCACCTGCCAGGGGTGAGAATGGGTGAGCTCACAACAGGTGTCTGGAGGCCTTAATTAGTCGGCTTGCATCTCCCATCCCTGGCGCACCCGTTATGCCCGCTTTGTGGATGGCGTCCATCCATCCCCGGCCCCCTCTCCTCCTCATTTCCTCTCGCAGTGACCGCCACCGGGGCTGTGGAGGAAAGGCGGAACACAGCTGGCCCACCGAGTTCCTCTCTCGTGCTCTCCCCCCCCCACCCCCCGACTCTCGTCTCCCCTCACCCAAGGGCGGGGTCACTGCAGGTTTAACTCCTGGTGGTCCGCAGTACTTTCCTAGAAGCTTCGAGCCCTATCATCTGCTCTTCACAGAGGCCCGGGAAGACGCCTGAGGCCACTTCCCCTTCACCAGGGAGAAGCCCTGCAAAAAACAGCTCAGGCTGTTCAAGAGAGCCAGCCTGGACCAGCCCTGGAGGCGAGGGGCAGAGAAAGCCCTCAGCCAGGTTCTGAAGGGGATGGGGTGAGGAGGGCACAGCTGTCCCGAGGTCCCCCCTCCACCCACCCCCATCATCTCCTGCCAAGTGCCACCCCCACAGAGTGACCCTAAAAAGAAGGCTCTGAATCCACTGATCAGACCGGCTGTGCTCGTTCATCGTGTTGTCCGCAGCTGCTCTCTCCTGCAGCAGCGTCAGAGTCGGATGGTCATAACCAAGACAAGATCCACAAGGTTATGGACTACTGACAGTCCGGCCCTTCATGGGGACAGTTTGCTGACCCCTGGACTAAAGGAGATCGTGGGGCCTGTGGGGAGATGGGACATCCCTAACAGGCTTTGTTTCTGTCTTCTAGTTTTAATTATACACGGAAAGTAGTTTTTTCTTCCCCCTTTTATAAAAAATACAAACGTAACAGGCAATTCTAAAGCCCCGCTGACCCCTCTGAAGACAGGATGTGAGGTCTCAGCTCAGGGAATTGCAGTGTCCATTTCTGCAAACTGCACCCATGCTGTTTTTTCATCAGGGTATCTCTGCCCCTCCCGCTTAGCTGATTTTTTTGGTTTGTTGTGTGCTTGCTTTGTTATAGGACTGTTCTTTTATGAGTAGTTTTTGGTTTACAGCCAAATTGAGAGGAAGGTTTAGACGTTTCCCATGTACCCCTGGCCCCACCTATATACACGGCCTCCCGAACTAGCAGCATCCCCACCAGGGTGGAACATTTGGACTCAATGACTATGTAGTCTGCGGTGTTTTGTCTTTTTTGAATAACAAATGCTCCTGGGAACATTCTTGTTTATGTCTGTAGCCATGTGCATGTTTTTGTATAGGGTGTACCCATAGGAGTGGAATTGCTGGGTCATGGGTGAGCCTGTGTCAGCTTCAATAAACACTACTCATATGGTTTCCAAATCAGTTCCACTTCCAATTGCCCACTGGCCTCGTCAACACTTGGTAGTGTCTATCTTTCTCTTTTTTAGGCATATCTGGTGAGTATATAGTAGCAGCATCACATGACTTTAATTTTTGCTTCCCTGATGGCTAAGGAAGTCAAATCCCTTTTCATACTTTTATGGTGATTTGAATATGTTGTTGTTCAGTCACTAAGTCACGTCTGATTCTGTGACCCCATGGACTGCAGTACACCTGGCTTCCCTGTCCTTCACCATCTCCCAAAGTTTACCCAAACTCATGTCCCTTGATTCGGTGACACCATCCAACCATCTCATCCTCTGTCGCCCCCTTCTCCTCCTGCCTTCAATCTTTGCCAGCATCAAAGTCTTTTCCAGTGAGTCAGCTCTTCATAACAGGTGGCCAAAGTATTGGAATTCCAGCTTGAATATACCCTTGTGGAATGTCTATTCAAATCTTTTGCTCATTTTTTTTAAATTAGATTGTCTGATTTTTTTTATTATTAATTTTCTTATTTTTTACATGACTATGCATATTCTGGGTTTGCGTCCTTTGGTAGATGTAGGATTGCATGCCCATTCTGTGGGTAGCTTAGCAGTGTACCTGGATGAACTGAGTTTCTTAATTTTAAACATTGTCAATTTGTTGTTTCTTCCCCTTCTTGGTTAGAACTTTCTGGGTCCGGTTTAAGAAATCAGTGCCTCCTCCAAGCTCACGAAGACGGTCTCCTATGTTTTCCTCTGAAATCTTTGACCCTTCGTAGTTATGCAATCCATCTGGAATTGATTTTTGTGTATGGCGTGAGGTAGAGATCAAGGGACATTTTTTCCCCCACATGGATATTCAGTCTGCCCGGCATCATTTATTGCAAAGGCCATTCTTTCCCCTCTGCTCTGCAGTATTGATTTTGTCATAAATCAGGTGACCACGTATGCGAGGGTCTGTTTCTGGACTCTCTAATCTGTTCCACGGGTCTATTTGTCTCCCCTTGTGCCAATACCCCCAGTCTTAATTACTGTGGCTTTGTAATAGCCTGCTCTGCGGTGTCTTTGTTCCTCGTGATGGCCTCGGCTGTTCTCAGCCCCCATGTTCTTAGGGTCTGTGTGTTTTATTCCTCAGCAGCTGGAGGTTCTGAGCAGAGGGAGTGGTGAGATCTGACTTATATCTGCGAGCGATCTTGTAAAGAGATGCGAGAGGTTTCTGTAGTCCCCTTGGCTAGAGGTAACAGTGGCTGGGACCAGGTGTCAGCTGTGGAAGTGGGGTGCCAGGTGTGTATGGGGGTGCATTTTCAGAGTCCTGCTGATGGCTTTAATGAGGACTGTGATGCAAACGGGAGTTAAGGATGACCCCTCTATTTAGGTCCTAAGCAACCAACTGGATGATCCAGGGGCAGGGCGGTCCAAGGGAGGATGAACCGCACTCTGCACACCCGCCGCTTCCTTGCCTGTGACACAGCACACGTAACAGGGGCCAGAGAGCACTGCTCAGCTGACCTGTCCACTCACGTGCATGTGTTTGGGGTTTGGGGCCACCCGTTAGCTGTGTGATGTCAGCTGTAGCAGCGGCATCGCTGTGTCAATATCCCTCACGGGCGTGCTCTCTGCCATGAGAGGGAGGGCTGTTGACAACAGGCGGGTGTTCGCACAGCCTTTACCAGCAGGCCCTGCCGGGGCCTAAAGTGCCTTTGTGCTCACGATTTCATCTGTTCCTCCCCCCACAAGCCTGGGGAACGGCCGCTGATGAGGCAGATGGCCACACGGCCGTAAAACCCCAAGCAAGTGGCAGAGTCGGATCCGTGCTCCCAGTCCCTCTCTTTCCCTGCCACCTTTCCCGTTACAGAGTGAGGACAGAGAGACACGCCTTGTCTCATGTGCTCGTCTCATTCGCTCAGTGGTGTCCGACTCTTTGCAACCCCATGGACCACGGCCCGCCAGGCTCCTCTGTCCATGGGATTTCCCAGGGAGGAATACTGGAGTGAGTTACCATTTCCTTCTCCAGGGGATCTTCCTGACCCAGAGGTTAAACCCTCATCTCCTGCATTGGCAGGTGGGTTCTTTACCACTGAGCCACCAGGGAAGCTCCCGTATGTCTGTGTAGCTTATGTCTATTAAGTCTTTATACTATGCCCATGATTTTCCATGTCCGTGATGCTTGTCAGGGCCAGTCTGCAAATACTTAACATGTGCTCACTGCAAGCTGGGTACTGTGCCCATTTCATTCAAAAAGCCTGCTTCTGTCCTTGGGATCACTACATTCAAAGGACATGATGGCCCCACCTGGGAAGGTGATTGCAGTTACAAGGCAGTAACAACAGCAACAAAAATACAAAGGAATCTGTTCTTCCACTAAGAGACTGTCCCAAAGACAGAATGCAGGAGTCCTTCTCGGACCTCTTTTTATTTTGAAAGAGATCCAGAGTTCTGAGTGGACTCCACGAACCAGCTGTAAAAGAAAAGACAGCTCAATGGCATTACATGGTCCAATCCCAGAGGTTCCACCCTGCCCAGCCTATGGGGTGACCGCATCTCAGATCCAGCTTTTAACACGAGGGCTCCTTGGTTGAGAAGGGAGAGGCATGAACTAACCAAGCTGTAGCTGATAGAGGAGACTGCAGGGCAAGACTCAGCAGATGTTACTGGGCATCTTATTTCTGCTCGGAGGAAAACCAAGGAAATACACACACCTGTCAGCATGGCTAAAAGAACAAAATAAGAGTAACACAAAAGGCCAACGAGGATGCAGAGAAACTGAATCACTCACACATTGCTGGTGAGATGTAAAATGGTCCAGCTATCCTGGAAAAGTGTGTGGACAGTTTTAGACAAATGAAGCAGACACTTATCACGCGACTCAGCAACTGCACTCTTGAGCATCTGTACCAGAGAAATGGAAATATGTGTTCATATAGAAACTTATATGCAAGACTCCCGTGATGGTCCACTGCTTACAAATTCTCACTTTCACTGCCGAGGGCCCGGGTTCAATCCCTGATCAGAGAACTAAAATCCCGCAAGCCATGCAGCACCGCCAAAAAAGAAAAAAAGTTTACACATGTCTAACCACTAATGAGTGGATAAACCAAATGTAGTCTGTCTCCATACTGAAATGTTACTCTGCCATAAATAGGAATGAAGTACTGTTGGCTGCTACACCATGGGTGAACCTCAAAAACAGTATGTTAAGTGAAAGAAGCCAGACATGAAAGACCCCATATCACATGATTTCATTTATATGCAATGTCCAGAAGAGGCAAACGGAGAAAGGAAGTAAATTAATGGTTGTTTAGGGATGGGGCAGAGATTGCGGGTGGCAGCTAAGGGATGTGAAAGCTGATGAAATTTTCTAAAATGGCTGCGGTGATGGTCACACAACTCTGAACACACTAAAAGCTGTGGAATTGTACACTTTGGGCGAATTGTATGGTATGTGAATTGCATCTTGATAAGCTGTTGGAAGGAAGAGAGGAGGAGGCACACACAAGTTCCTACCAGTTTCATTTATAATGTCCTTCAGTGGGCACGTGGTTAAACTTTGCTGCATTTGGACGGTGGATTATGACTCAACAATAAAAAGAAGCAAACCAAGACACCCTGGTGTCCCAGTGGTTAAGAATCTGCCTGCCAAGGCAGGGGACACGAGTTCAGTCTTTGGTTTGGGAGGATTCCACATGCCTCTAGGCAGCTGCGCCTGAGCTCTAGAGCCCATGCTCCGCACCAGGAGAAGCCACCGCAGTGAGAAGCCCGCACACCGCGACTCGAGAGTGGCCCCAGTCCCCACAGCAGGGGAGAGCCTGTGCGCAGCGACAAAGACCCGATGCCACCACCGCCCCCAGATTAGTTAGTGATTTTTTTTTAAAAGAACAGATTGGGCTTCCCTGATAACTCAGTGGTAAAGAATCTGCCTGCTAATACAGGAGACACGGGTTTGATCCCTAGTCCGGGAAGATGGCACATGCCATGGAGCAACTAAGCCCGTGCGCCACAGCTACTGGAGCCCAGGAGCCGCAGCTTCTGAAGCCCGTGTTCTGCAACAGAAGCCACCGCAATGAGAAGCCCGCACGCCACATCTCGAGAAAAGCCCGTGCAGCACTGAAGACCCAGAGCAGCCAAAACCAAATAACGGGGGCAGCAACCCAGATGAATCTCTAGAGAATTACACTGAGTGGGAAAGCTTATCCCCAGAGGTTACATACTGCATGATTCCATTGCTGTAACGTTCTTCAAAGGACAGGATGACAGAGGTGGAGAGCAGATGGCTGGTTGCCTGGGATTGGGTAGGTGAGAAGGGAAGGATCCTGTGACGGGCCTGTTCTGTGTCTTGTGTGGGCACACGAGTCTACGTGTGATAAAATTGCACAGAACAGAATATTCACACACATGGATACATGCAAGACTGGTGTTTGGGAGCATTGGGAGCACGGTGTATCAGCCCCTGGACCACCTGGGAAGTCCTTTGTGATGTGCTAAGTCGCTTCAGTCATGTCTGACTCTCTGCGACCCTATGGACTGTAGGCCACCAGGCTCCTCTGTCCATGAGATTCTCCAGGCAAGAAAACATGAGTGGGTGGCCATGCTCTTTTCCAGGGGATCTTCCCAGCCCAGGAATCGAACCCAGGTCTCATGTATTGTAGGTGGGTTCTTTACCATCTGAGCCAATCCAGATTTGTGCATAAATTTGCGTTAATGCACCAGGTTTATGCATAAATTTGGTTATGGAAAAATAGTAATTTTCAGTTGTTTGCAGTGTGAGTGAACAGGTTAAGTGTTTCTGTACCGTTTTTGGAGAGCTAGGGAACCAGCAGGTAAGTTCCTCAGGCTCTTGTCCATCTGTAGACCCATCTCCAGGTCGTCAGTCCTGCAGGCTAGGCGGGGAGCCCCAAGGGATCTGGTTGACATGTGAGCTGGATGATACTCTCTTCATTTCAGAGGCCTGCTTTGCAGAAAATCCACGCCAGACTCTGCTTCTGTTTGTTTTTTTTTTTAATGACCCTGCTCCCGCTCTAGCAATAATATGTCTACTCAGGGGTGGTCAGAGGCTGTAAAAGTGACTGCGGCGCTTGCCCACAAGAGGTACTCGGGTCACCTGAGTTCTCCTTTTCCACACCGCCTTTGTCCCCCAGTCATCAGAAGTCGGCCGTGAGCTTGGAAAGGAGCCAGTGTGATTTTCCAAGTGAGAACGCCCGGCCAGGGAGTCGGGAGAATTCTGGCTCAGCTCTGCCGGCACCCGCTGTATAACCTTGGGCACTTGGTGACTTCTTGGAGAGTCTGTTTATTGAGTGACTCAGTGATGGGGTTGGGCGAGACCAGCCAGAGCAGAGGGCTTCCTCCTCTCGCGAGCCAGCGCAAACCCGTTGGTCGTGGCTGCTGGAGTTCGATCTCAGAGGATTGTGAGGCTGCCTGGGCTGTGCAGGAAACAGCACTGTAATTGACTAGTGATGTCTGCCATGGACGCGGGCGTGGCGTCTGTGATAGGCAAGCAGCTGCAGGTATCTGCCGAAGAACATGGTAGTTATCACCCGTTGCTGGAGCTCTTACATTTCCACCTGCCAGACTGAGTGGTGGTGCAGTTCCAAACCCCGACCTGTATGAAAGCCTACTTCGCTCTCCTCTCTAAAAAAATAAGAATGAGCTGAGAAGTTGAGAGGCTGTCTCTTGTGGTTGTTCTTTACCTTCCCTTGCAATTCTGAAGATCTGGTCTTCCAGTGCAGCCAATATTTCCTATCACTTCATGCCCAGACTCCTTCCAGAGTAGGGTGATGGAGCCCAGACAGTGGAATGGGGCATCCTGGGGAGAACCATGCGGTTCCGAGGTGGGGCTTTGTGCACTGGCTCCCGCCCCCCACAGCAGCCTGCCCCCACCTCCTCACTCCACATTCAGTGCCTTTTCAGTTACAAGGTCTCGGTGCTTTGTCTGGTTTTGCAGGAGGGCGGCAGTCGGCTTATTGTTGCCATGGGTAATTGTGCTCTGTGGCTCCTGAACCCTGGCAGTGAACGGCAGCGGGGAGGGAGCCCCAGGAAATCTTGGGATGCCTCAGAGTAAGAGCAGCTTCTGAATCCTCTCCCGTCTCAGAGCTTTCCACGGAAAGGGGGTCCTGCCACACTGCTTTTTTAGTTAAGAAATACCTCGTGGGTTTAGCAAATATTTACAAAGCGTCTCTCACGAGGCAGGGACTGTGCCAGGTGCTAGGTTACAGAAACCAACATGAACTCCCGGAAGGGAAGGGACTATCTTGGTTTAGGGAGAAGTGGATACAGGGTTCACTCCATTAGAACTGTCAGGAGGGTGTATGCTCCTCGGTTCTTTGTCTCGTCACAACAAAGATTTGGAGTGATGGACATTCAAGCCCTTTGGGGTGTCACAGCTCTCGGGTCTTGGACAGACTATGTTATAGCTCTCAGGTCTCGAGTGGGCCATGTTATAGCTCTTAGACAAATCAGTGTTACAGCTCTATTTTATTTAGAAGATAGCAGGAAAATCCATCTTCGAGGTGTGAGGGCACGTCGATCCAAAGACATGAAGAGAAGAGCACCCCAACATTCGAGAGAGAGAGAGAGGGAGAAAGAGGGAGCCCTTTGGCTCCTCTTTGTGTTTCTTTCTTCC